GTTCTGTACATAGTGATTACATAATGTTTTATTAATTATGTGTTCCTGATATAATAGTTATTCTTTTGCAAGAAAGAGATTCAGTGATTGTATAGAAAACCGTCAGAAATAAGTGGAACCTAGAATATGAAAAAATTCTCCTAACCTCTCAATTGGAATAGCTCACAGGTCATAGCCTCGTTCTGGTTATTAGTCACATGACCTTTGACTAGGGAATCCCAAACAATGTGCAAGTGTGAGCAAATTTATTTCTGTTGAAAACGCTGAATTGTGAAGTCAAAACACAACCAAGGTCAGTAAAAACGATGTTTATATGTACCAATGTGCTTTGGGATTCAGTTTTTCTTATTCATATGCAGGTTGAACTAACATTTCATCCATTCCACATTACTTTAAGCCCGAAACAGTAAGAAATATTAAGCAAATATTTCATTCTATGGAGGGCAATACCTATTCATCTTTGATTTTTGCAATATGTATTGCCCGCAGCCCGTAGGGCAATGGTAATACATGTTGCAAAAATCATTGAAAGTGCAGTTTTCAGAATCCCCAGTCTGGCAATATGCTGGGCAATGCGTCTTTTAAATATACCAATAATTCAGGGAGCTGTGAAATACGCTATGGTATTTTTAGTCACATGGTACTGAATTAGCCAATCAAATCACACGATTTATAGCAATGACGTAATAATTAGTGCTACTTCCATGAACACCCATTTTGTAGAATAAGATTCTGATTCTCGTATTTGGTATATAATATATGAATTAGATAAAAAAAATCCAGTCGAACATACTGAAGAAATTGTCAAAATATTCTATGTATCAGGTTTTAATGTATTTACATTTAAATATAGCTGTCGTAATAAGTACACATGATGAAAATACAGGCACAAACAAAATGCGTACTTTCTGAAACCTTGCGTTTGGATATTGATAAATTGAATGATATTGGCTAAAAACTTCTGTCAGAATTGAAACAATATTTCCCCAAGAAAAGTCAACATGTCAAAACAACAGCAATAGCTAGAACTATCCTATTTAGATGTTTACTTGACAGTATGGAGAATTGGGGAAGCCTGACAGAGAATCATCACAGAGGTAGAAAGATTTGATAAAAATGGAGTTTTGGTGTGGGAGGGGAGGGGGGGGCATGTAATTGTATACTTGTTTATAAAATTGATAAAATGACATATTCTAGACAAGGATAGGCATTTGCCATCATAAAATATGAGAGATAATGACTCATAAACTTAAACTATGGAGATTTGGGGTAGTAATATGGAACATACAGTATATGGAAACTGTAACCTTATAAGATCTTCTCCAATTACTCAGATGCGAGTAGGTAGTTACTGTTATGTATCTGGTTTCAGTACTGGTCATTAAGATATCAGTTTCGCCACCAGGTGGCTGATTCGGGGGAAATAACATGGCAGGGTATTACAAAATTCCCTTGAACTTGAATATTCATCAGTTTTAGTGATTCACTTTTCATATTACCCAAATATATTAATCAATTTTAACTCATAGCTCTTGATCAATGAAACTATTCATATTCTAGGAACAAGTCAATGAATACGACTTTGACAAACTAAAAAGACTAAGGATCTCTAGGACTTAAAAGTTAATTTGACCATTGATGACCTATGATAGGGAAGGGTCATGATAACACTTATATAAAATATTTAAAGTATCTAATAATGATAATGAACATACTACAATGTTACAAAATGTTAGTAGATGCTAATTGAATGTCAATTCTTGTTAGTGTAATATGTGTTTTTCATTTAATGCTGCAACAATTACACAAGTACCAAAAAGTGCCACGCCTACTTTTCCCTAAAAGCAGTTGTGTCTGACTACATTTGATAAATATTATTAATTTATGAGATCATTATATCAAGTTTTTAGTGCTTTAGTGTGAATACATACATATTAATTCAACTTTTTACAAAGTAGCAGCCACAAAATCCAAACAGATTTGCAAATATTTCACTTTGAGAACTTAAGGACACATTTGGGGCGGGGTCAAATTAAGAAGATTGTGAGATATAAATACTGTTTTCATGGTAACCATATAAGTCAGAGATTGCAAATTTCTGGCACTGACTAACCATGGCATGCCCTACCCACTATAAAACGATGAATATCTGATATGCATTAGTATTCTTTTTATTGGGTGGCATTAAAGTACCCCCAAGGTTTTGTTGGGGTAGGGGTATAAATTGGCCTGAGGGCCTTCTGCCACCCCTACATAAAGTCCAACTACCCAGAAAGTGTCCAGCATAATCATACAGATTGTTTGAAATATGTTGGAATGTGTGACCTTCCATGAAAAGTAGGATGCATTTCTAGAGCACTTCTACAGAATAGTCCACAGTCTAAAAGTCTGAGTGGTAAACCTTTTAAGTTTAGTGAAAAAGTCAGGAGTCTTCTCACGAAAACATCATCGATGGGTTTAATTTAGTTATTGCGATAATGTTTTAACAGTTCCATGGTACAAATCTTAATTTTATCAACCAATTGTGACTTGATTTGATCTAGAGTTAATCTCAATCAGGAACATATGACAAAGGCAATAATCCATATACATGCTTGACCGTCATTTCTGTCTTGACAAAATTACATTCTTGTGGGACCCATGGCATTAAATTAAATAAGTTTTAAAATAGATACACAATCAAGCTTAGGTAACTGTCCTAAAAATGTTGAATTTTTCATATGTAACTGTCCTAAAAATGTTGAATTTTCATATTATTATAAGTCGATATAGGTACAAAGTAGTTTTAACCCCTCCCGTCAAACGTAATTAATTTTTCTCGTGGGCGTCCATCAATGAACTGACCTTCTCCTCAAAACAATCAAATTATTGTCAAATTGGCTTTTAGTTAGGTCACTTGTAGGAGTATTATCAAATAGGGTGATCCGATTAGCCGTCAATGAATTATTAATCAAGACAACAATTAATCAAAGTGCAACAATGGAGATCATCCTGAATATTGTGATTAATGGATTAATAGAAGATTGATATGCTGCTTTGAGTAGATATAAATTCTTTGTTAATTGTGAAAGTATAATTTGTTGATTTTCTTTTTAAGTTCGTCCAATGAAGCGTTTGAATTAGGACCTTAAAGTGTCACTGTGCCTAAATTAAAAATACATAAAACATGCCATTTAAAAATGCATAAAACATGCCATTAATGTGTGCTTCAGGAAGAGTCCTGCCGTTAGATAATGTGATGTCACCCAAGACCCACGTATTTTATTTAAATGAAGTGCAATGCCATAATAGAGCCATTGATTCAATCTGCTGTTTAATGTTACTTCAACTGGGATATTTTTTTCACTCAACAGGCAATGATGAATGTTTTAGGAAGTTGTATCACTCTCAATAATACACAAAACGGCAAAGTACAGACAGTTCCGGTGTAGAAGAAATTATGGTCCCCTTTCCGTACGGCCCTTACTGGCCCTGACTGTGTATAAATAATAAGGAAAATAATTGTAATTAATTCATCATATAAATCAATAGAGAGTAGGACCAAAATTTGATAGGACCACTTACCCTTTTACACCTGAACTTTCTGGCTGTCAGTCTGTAAATCGACGTCCTTGGACTCAATATGACTACATCTAATCCGAACGTTGTATCAATCATTATAAACTAAGAAACATGTATATAGCGGCAATATATATTCATTACGGGAAAGTATGAGTAAACTTAAAGACCTGGGAACTGTCTCAGATCTTAGAAAGATGAACGTAAATCAGACAGCAGTCAACATCCCCAGGTAGAGGTGTAGGTGTAAATGACAATGCAAATGTCGGTATTCGTTGTTCAATCAGCTTTGTCAATAAGAGCAGCTAGAATCTATTTCTTGTTGATAGTTGTCTTGCACGTATCACTGTCGATTTGAAGTCGATTTTTGTTGACGATTTTCAACAGAGACCACTTTGTGATTCAATATCTAAGGATTTAAGCCCTGGACCAATTCTTGGAGGTGTTGCTTTCCAAAATGTGTACGAGATGCGGAGCATCGAGTGGTAATTTTAGGAAACAACGCCCGAGGGGAATTGTCATTACACAATGCACTGAGGCTTAAATTCTTTTCACACATTGCAAAATATTTTCAACAAAATCATCTAAAAGATACGAAAGCACTAAAAAAACATAGTATTATTTTCGATGACACTTTTTGCAAGGGTTGAGCTGGCAAAGTATCAATTTCAATATGTAGAGTCCAGTCATAACCACGAAGACCATTTAGCTAGTGACCTTGAATTCATTTTTGGTCATATAACGGAATGCAATTACGCGAAATGGTGTCTGATTGGCTGGAATTATACACACATTGCCCAGTTCTGTGTGAATGTGGGATATTCTATGCATGAATTTGAATAATATCACTTTACCCAGACAATATCCACCAACATATGTACGTGGTTATTTAATACCAGTTTTAGCCGATGGTTATGCTTATTTTCAAAAAGGCTACTTCTATTTTTTGGTGCTGCTTTATACAAAAATTGTCACGTTGCATGCACATATTTGAAAAATAATATGAAATATCAGCTATGTTGTTAAAATACAATTGGCAACAAAAAATACAATTGACAACAAAAATACAATTGGCAACAAAAAATACAAATGGCAACAAAAAATACAATTGGCAACAAAAAATACAATTGGCAACAAAAATATAATTGGCAACAAAAATACAAATGGCGAATATAAGCTGCCCTGGATCTTAAGACCTAAAATAATAACTACATTTGTATGCATTACCATTTCAGATAATCCGTGGCTATACTGCATTCTGATTGGTCAGAGAGAGCTAAAGCATACCTAACTATGTTTACATTTACACGCCCACCCTGTATCTGTCAATCAGTTTGGAATCTGAGAAGTGACAGATTTTCATGAACATTATTAAAAAACGATGTGTATATTGCAACATAATGGATACTACAGTTCTTAAGTATATTTTATTCTCATTGTAGACGTCACAACATTATATGCAGACAAATTAAATCAAAATGGTGCGCTTCCATTACTAGTTGAAAGTAAGTATAAAAGCTTCAATTTTTTATCATTCGAACATAACTATATTACAGGGTGGTACAAAAATCGACCCCTTTATTTGGATTTTTTAAAATTAAGATTATTTTTATTATTCGATGCGTTGAAGATGTGATAGGTGTGTCAACTCTGAGATTGAAAGAAATAACGAGACATACACTAAAATGCAAGTTCAGAAATCTTTAAATATCAGATTCTGAAAATTGCAATTTTGAAAATAAATGTAAAATACTGGCATATATTAACATTCTCTATTCTCTAAGAACAACAAATACAGAGTGAGCAAAAGGTAACCCAAACAAATATTAAATCTTAGTAACTCAGTCATTAATGAGTTATTAACATACATTTGTTTGGGTTACCTTTTCTTGCCTCACCCTGTTTTTAACTGATTCTGTTTTATTTTGTATAGTACAAATTTGGGTTCTTTTTCAGGTTTCACAGAAAAATTGATACATGAACTGTCAAATAGAAAAATAGATGCTCTCTCTGAAGGGCAGGCATACTTCATTAAAGACAAATTAAAAGGACTTTACACGTATTTGCGACAACATCCAGCCTTAATGGAAAGACGCTTATACGTCGGCTCAGTACGACCCTCCACAACGTATACGAATATTAGCTTTAAAAGATCAGCATCTAATAATTACTATAATCATAAAAAGGTAAGTATGTATATATGTGCGCCACAATGGGGTCCGAGGATCAGTTTTTTTGTAACCAAATTAGAGAAAACAGATCTCGTTTGAATACTGTTTGCAAGCTCTTTTTCGATATATTTTGTGGTTAGTTGCAATGAAAACAAAAATGATAACGTCGACATGTCGTTATTTTAAATTACAACCGATTATAACTTCGAAATAAACAGTCCAAAAGATTCGAACCAATATCTCGATCATTTCTTGTGAGTTTGGGAATTTTTCGTTTGGAAATAAGACCAAAATTCACGATTCAAATGTTGAAGTGAACAAAATGGCGACTGTTTGAATTCGAATTTTGAATTACGACATATATGGGACAGAATATCGATGTTGCACTCTGGTAGCCAATCCTCCTTGGGTTAGCTGCATAATTACGGCTATTGACTTCTGTTGAGATGAGATGTTAACTCCACTCAAAGTATCCATTTACACAAGGACAGCCAGATTATGATTGCATCTTTACTCCCAAAGTATATATGCACACACCACTGTGATTTATGAACGTGTGTTTTCCATCTAAACTCTCCAACAAGATAGCATCACACCATGTTGTATTGGATTTCACAATTACCCTAGCATTGATATGTGTTGCTTGCAAATTCATGGTTATTTCCTCAATTTCTGCTCACAAAATGGCTATTCTTGTAATGGTTTAATTGTATGATATCACAATTAATTAGTGATATTATAGATTATGTTAGCATTATACTATAGCGTAGATGTTAACATTTTATAAGACATAATAGTTGAAAACTGACTGCTCCATTATTAACATCTCTGGAACACCAAAAGCAGCTATTGTTACCCTGCGTGCAGAGTCTATTTAAAATACGAAGACGAAGCTCTCTTTTAAGAAGTGAAGTCAAACGAATGCAAATGGTAAGCTATTGTTGGAGAGCAACAAATTATGGCATTTGATTAAGCTTTCTCCAAAGGAACGCATTGCCTCAGAAAAATCCCACTATTTATAATTCACTCCTCGTACTTTGCTGAACAACTGAACATTATATCAAAAAGAAGATATCTTTTATCCCATTTTCCACAGCTTTAGCTTTTTAAAATTTATCTAATCTATATTCCACTGCATTGGATATATTCCGTATCCTATAAATTTTCCTTTCCAGAAAATAAAAACGACCTGACAAGAAGTATGGATTCTCTGACACAACAATTATAATTGTAACAACAGATGCGTGCATAAAATCGTTAATTAATATATGTTTCCTTAACTTCAGAAAATACTTCGTTTATAACACTGACCTACATAAAATCTTCATGTAAATGCCAACATGCGTCAATTTCCCTAACTTTTATTACTAGTACTTTGTCGAATTGAAGTAGCTATGAGTGATTTTTCATTGATTAAACCTATACATCAAATAAAAAGTAGAAGCAGTCTCCCACGTTGTATCATTTCCAGATGTGGCCATTTGTGCTTTCTCGACGAAACGAGCGACAATATTGCGACAAATTGCCGATAATATTGCAGTAAAATCACTGTTTATTTCTTTATTATACATCGAGTCATTTATTGGAACATCTACAATTTTGTTCTTGTCATAAAAACGACAATGTATCAATGAATTCAATTACAAATCCCAATATTCAGATCAACTTTTATTTGTCTATCAAATTAAGAATGACAGATTAAAAGCGATTATTGTAATAGTGAACCTATGCTGTCTCTTCCGATGAACATAGTCGAGTCAGAGAAAGGATGGAGTGTCGAGACCTGAGAAGCCTTCCAAAACACGGGCATCATCAGTTTTACCATTTAGTTTACTGCCTTTTCAACTTTAACCAACACCCGCACCATACGTTTGGCTATACCGATCCACCTTTTGCACTACTGTTAATGTCTCTTTAGATTTGGTAATTCAAAAAATGAGGAAGTAATTAATTCATCTGAGGCAAAAATGAAGAATATCTTTCAGATTACACTAGGTCCGCCTCCATGAAAAACATAGAATCTCTTCTAATTTATATAACTGAAAGTACAATGGTATGTTGACCGTGAAAGCCCAACTGTTCTGATCTACTCAAAAAGTTCGAACTCTTGCCCAACTATTCTGAGAACCAAAGTATTCCAAGTTCACTTATTTTATGAGATCTGAAAACCCACAAAGAACTGCGATATTACTCCGTGAATGTGCAATCCAGATTCTGGATAAGTCACGCCTTTCCGGACGACGTAAAATATATTCACAAGAATAGTTCAGCCATTGTCATTCAAGATTTGTAAGAATGTAGCCTTATTATTTGGTTGAGGTGATAAAATTGATTGCGATTTGATCATTAACAGAACTATAATGAAGAAACGAAGAAGAGCTTTGACATATTTGTTTTTCGTGAGATATAACTAGTTTGTAGACCGATTTTTCAAAACTGGTACAGGGTGAGCTCAAAAAAGGTGTCCCAAACAAATGATACTAACTACGTCTTCCAACATGGATTTTACATCATATTTGGCACAATTAAACCTTGTTCAATGTTCCTTCATTTTACCAAGTTTCATTGGTCTAATTCTCATGGTCACTATTTTATGGCCATTTTACAAATGCGGAAAAGCACCAAATATGAATCCTTAGACTTTTATCTTTAGAGCTTTTTCCAAGATATTGTCTACACCTACAACTCTAGAAGCATGGGCATAGTGAAAGGTGTTTCGTGGGGCTCGTGCGAACCCCCATTCGCCTCAACCCCCCCCCCACCTTCATTATAAATCGAATCCCCGACAAGGAGCAACCCCTTTTTCTGAAAGATCAACAAACCACAGGCCGGTGACAAACCCCGCTTTTCAGAACCCCAGGAGAAATCCTTGGTAAATCCTGGCTACACCCCTTAGAAGCATCTGAGAGTTGAAACAAGAGATAAGAAGGATGATTCGAAGCATTACAGTTCTAAGATATCACTCGTCCCGCTACATTCAAATTGGCTATCCGAGATGATGTTTTGTAAAATAGCCATAAAAACGTTGTCATTTTATAGAAACTAATGAAACTAAGTAGAATGAAAGAACATTGAACAAGGTTCAATCATCATGCCAAATATGAATTTTAAATCATGCTGGATGGCTGAGTTATTAACATTTGTTTTGGTTACGTTTACTTGGCTCACCCTGTATATTATTTTTTCAATTTCAGAGAGATAACAAACCCTTTTACAATGTGCATCAAAGTGATCAAAGTTCGCCAAAAAGCGCATATTACGGTTATGAATCAACCGTCAAACGGTATGATGATGCTGATAATTACGATGCAACTCCACATGCATTTGCGGCCTTTGCCCAACCCGTGTGCCCATCAAGAACGGAGTGGAGGCTGCTGACACGAGCCAGGGATATCAACGAGACTGAGGTGGAGGTCTTCCAGCCACGGAGAGGTCTCGGGGGTCAACAATGGTTCTATACAGTGTCCTGCGTCGATGGGCATGTGCTCCCTGGGCGTGCGTGTGACAATTGCTGTTACGGAATCGACCAGCAAACGTGAGTTATATATTATATACATATTTATATAAAATAGGTGAATGAGACACAACGTCATCAATATCAACTGTTCTGGCAATTGCAATGCTGAGGGTCAAATAAGGTTCAAGGTGAAAACAAGGTCACAAATCACATTCAAGGTGTACGTGTCCATGGTGACATGTGCCTGAGAATGCTGTTTTAAAGAATTGAACACCAACTCAAATAGATTGTTTTGCTCAAATTAGTGCCAACAGTTTCATTTAAATTGATTTCTTAACGTTGAGGTTCCTAACTTCCTATACGCCATTTGGGATTAGATTACATGATCGTTACAAAATGCAACATCGTGGAAATATATTCTATTGAAGAAAATGGAATACCTCGCAGCCTAATGGATATCGCCATCCATGTCAGGACATTTGTGAATGTGGGGGAAATGCTGACAAAGGTCAATGCATAAATATGAGCTCGCTGGATATTGGACATGGGGGAGTAGATCATACCTGACGTTGGATTGAACACATTCGTCCTTGGCGAGTGTCTACATTACAAAAGTGACATCTGTTTCAATGAAATTATAGTGCCGTGAAAGGCATAAATGGATAACGAGAAAATTACTTAACTTTTATTACAGGAATCTCTTTGCATTATCCTCATGTGATAATTATACGATCTGCATTAACGATTTCAATAAGAGAATATTTATTTCCGTCGTGATTCATAAACATCATTTATTAATGTACCTTGATGTGGATAAATTCAATATATCAATGACAATTGGTGAAGTTTATATGAATAACTTCAGAACAAAGCCTATTAGGTATAAGTACGAAAGAATGGCAAGGTAACATCCAACCTCCACCATCCTACACCATCCTCCACCATCCTACACTATCTCTTGTTGTTGGCCTGGCCCTACAATGCTCAATGTCATTGACGCTGCATCTTACGTCGTTGGGCCCACAATATTTAATATCTTTGGCCACATTTGAGATCTTTGGTGGTCATGTTGTCTTCAAAAGAAATGTTCTTTGATCTAAATGTAGGTACCCAAAATATTTGGTCCACGATATCTTGTTTTGTGACTATTGTTGGTCCCTTATACTTAGTTGTCGATGGTCCTAAATTGCATGTATCTATAATGTAATGTGGTTGGACCTACAATACCCCTATAATATCAAATGTCAATGGCCCCGCAATATCTGATATCGTTGACCATACACCATCTAATATCGTTGGCCACGCACTATCTAATATCGTTGGCTACGCGCTATCTAATCGTTGGTCACGCACTATCTTATATCGTTGGCCACGCACTATCTAATATCATTGGCCACGCACTATCTAATATCGTTGGCTAAACGCTATCTAATCGTTGGTCACGCACTATCTTATATCGTTGGCCACGCACTATCTAATATCATTGGCCACGCACTATCTAATATCGTTGGCTAAGCGCTATCTAATCGTTGGTCACGCACTATCTTATATCGTTGGCCACGCACTATCTAATATCATTGGCCACGCACTATCTAATATCGTTGGCTAAACGCTATCTAATCGTTGGTCACGCACTATCTTATATCGTTGGCCACGCACTATCTAATATCATTGGCCACGCACTATCTAATATCGTTGGCTAAGCGCTATCTAATCGTTGGACACGCACTATCTTATATCGTTGGACACGCACTATCTATATCTAATATAGTTTGCCACGCACTATCTAATATCGTTGGGCACGCACTATCTTATATCGTTGGCCACGCGCTATCTTATATCGTTGGCCACGCACTATCTAATATCGTTGGCCGCGCACTATCTAATATCGTTGGACACGCACTATCTAATATCGTTGGCCACGCACTAAAGACATGTCTAATATCGTTGGCCAAACAATATCTAATATCATAATGCCCCAAAAATATATAACAAGCAACCAAGACATTGACCCCGTGGCATTTCAATTTGCAAATTGGATGATGTATTTATGTACTACATACTACATATTATATATTTTTTATTTAGAATATAACTGAAATTTAATTATTTAAAAAATTCGAATTGCTTTTCAACTAGCAAATATATGCATGATGATTACATAGAATGATACATTAGTGTTAGTTATTTAAAAATTCTAACTCAAGTTATTTTTGCAGGTGGCGATCTAGCTGTAAAACTAAGAAGTCCTATGTGATGGCTTTGATCAAAACGCCTTACAATCATATGTTTGACTGGGGGTGGATACAAATAGACAGCAGCTGTAGCTGCAGTATTGTACCTCAGCTGTAAAACAGATGTTTCAAAATAATTGCTATTGTACATATTCCGCATTTGCTTGACAACAACGTTGTGTTTTGAGCTGCCTTAAACTCTGACGTAATCAAATCAAATCAAAAGAGAATTGATGTAAATTCAACTGACTGTGTATATTAAGAAACTACAATCGAAGATCGTTGAAAAACTATATATAGCAACGTCTCCATTAAGAGATATAAAAAGACATGTCATTGTGTATCAGCTGAACTTCGGCGATTGTGATCAAAAGTCTCAGTGGCGTGCCATGAAAGAGTGGTTTTAGAGGAACGTGTGTATTACTTGATGAGGGTGCTTTGAAGAGACGCCTGGCTTCCTGTGCTCCTTGAAACGATAAGGGCAGTGGGCGAAGTGTCAAGAATTGGACACAAAGCTGACTAGACGAGAGATTGATCTACTACTATCTCAGTTTAAATTAGTTATCCAATGTACTTGTGAGAATTGTTTTTATATATTTGGATATATTTATACTTAGCCCCCTTGCTGGCAGCTGGGGTGTAGTCAGAACCAAATATTTGGCGTGGCAAATGTAAATAGTTGCGACTTTAGGCTAATCAAGGTATATTTTTGATTTTGACGTTATATCCTTATTTATAAAGAAACGTCTGGATCAATGTATTTCCGTGAAATTTTGGTGAGGCACTAGCCTCGTTTGCCTCACGAAATGGCTACGGCCTGTCGTTGGTTGGACGAATATACATTAAGTCATTAATTCCCAATGGGAATCCAAAACGCAACCCCACACACTGTGTTGTTACATGGGTGAACTAGATGTACGGGCGTAATTATGTTTTGTTTCCAATGCTTCAAGTTTGAAACGAAACTATAGAAGACTAGAAATCCTGGTTTTACCATTTCATGCAGTTTTTCATCATCCGAACCCCCGTTTCAAATGGGATAAATAACAGTATACAGGTTAATTCAGGGTGTCCCAAAAAATTGTTCCAACCTGAGAAGGGAATTACACTTTTTTCTTCATAGAAAAAGTCGAATTTTTTACATGATAAAATAATTCGCTTTCAATCAGCAATTAGACATTTGTAAATTACTTGCTGGGAGTTTTGACATCTTAGTAATAGATGACATGCTCTAATTATAAATGGCATCCAACATGGTCGATTTAGAAGTGAATGCAATCATTGCAAATATGGAAAATCTGTGATGCTACTGAAACAAGTTTTAATATAAACTAAATAAGATGAATTTTTCTGATGTTTATGGTAATAATGACTAAACAAGAACATTCCTTCATCACTTCATTCATTGTTTACCTGGGTTCAATTTTTGGGACACCCTGTATTTTCAGCTAATGACCCTTAACATAAAGGCAAACTGAATTATTTGAATGTTCTAATTTTCAATTATCAAAGTGTTTTGTTCACTTCTTATAAATGGAATTGCTTGTAAACATTCGCGCTATTATTATACACTTTTACATATACATAAACGAATGTAACATAATTAATTAAATAAAATATTTAGAAATAAAGAAAACTTCCTATTATGTTTGGTAATATTTATTAAGGTCATATCACTTTTACATTTCTATATTATTTATAATGCATATCTCTGAAATGCAATTTCAGAATTAAAAATGCAATTTGCATGCATATAATAATTGTGACACGAGTAGATCAAATACAATAATTTTGACATGAGTTGGATCAAGTACAATAATTGCGACATGGGTTTTATCAGATCAAGCACAATCATAAGTTGTAAGCTGTATTTCTGATCAAGCACAATCATTACTGAACTGTATATCTGATCAACACAACCATTACGTTCCGACTTGTATGTCTGATCAAGCACAATCATTAAGTTGTTAGTTGTATATCTGATCAAGCACAATCATTACGTTCTGATTTCTATATCTGATAAAGCACAATCATAACGTTCTGAGTTGTATATCTGATCAAGCACATTGATTTCTAAGTTGTATATCTGATCAAGCACAAACATTTTGCTCTGAGTTGTATATCTGATCAAGCACAATTATTACGCTCTGATTTGTATATTTGATCAAGCACAATCGTTACGCTCTGATTTGTATATCCGATCAGGCACAATCATAACGTTCTGATTTCTATGTCTGATCAAGCACAATCATAACATTCTAAGTTGTTATCTGACCAAGCACAATCATTTCTGAGTAGTATGTCTGATCAAGCACAATCATAACGTTCTGAGTTGTATATTTGAACAAGTACAATCATTTCTTAGTTGTATATCTGATCAAGCACAATCATTACGCTCTGATTTGTATACACTGTATCTGGCCATGCACAATCATTACGCTCTGAGTTGTATATCTGATCAAGCACAATCATTACGCTCTGATTTGTATATCTGATCAAGCACAATCATTACGCTCTGATTTATATATCTGATCAAGCACAATCATTACGTTCTGATTTTTATGTCTAATCAAGTACAATCATAACATTCATTCTGAGTTGTATATCTGATCAAGCACAGTCATTTTTGAGTTGCATGTCTGATCAAGCACAGTCATTACGTTCTGATTTCTATATCTGATCAAGCACAATCATTTTGCTCTGAGTTGTATATCTGATCAAGCACAATTATTACGCTCTAATTTGTATATTTGATCAAGCACAATCATTACGCTCTGAGTTGTATATCTGATCAAGCACAATTATTACGCTCTGATTTGTATATCTGATCAGGCACAACCATAACGTTCTGAGTTGTATATTTGATCAAGTGCAATCATTTCTTAGTTGTATATCTGATCAAGCACAATCATTACTCTCTGATTTGTATATCTGATCTTGCACAATCATTACGTTCTGAGTTGTATATCTGATCAAGCACAATCATTACGCTCTGATCTGTATATCTGATCAAGCACAAGCATTACGCTCTGATTTTTATATCTGATCAAGCACAATCATTACGTTCTGATTTCTATGTCTAATCAAGCACAATCATAACATTCATTCTGAGTTGTATATCTGATCAAGCACAGTCATTTTTGAGTTGTATGTCTGATCAAGCACAGTCATTACGTTCTGATTTCTATATCTGATCAAGCACAATCATTTTGAGTTGTTGAGTTGTATATCTGATAAGTACAATCATTTCTAAGTTGTATATCTGATCAAGCATAATCATTACGCTCTGATTTGTAAATCTGATCAAGCACAATCATTACGCTTTGGGTTCATATCTCGAGCACAATCATCACGTCCTGAGTTGTATATCTGGGCAAGCACAATCAGTATAGACTGAGTTGTATCTGATCAAGTACGCTCATTACGCTCTGTCAGCCAATATGTACCAGAAGTTAAGGACATAGACACCGACGTCAACACATGACCCTCAAGGCCTACCGCGGAATACGTCGAGATATCTGATCTACCTGTAAATACAGGTGTAACACCAATCTGACGTGTGCTATACCATATGTTATATTAACAAGTTTTCCCCTTTCATTGAATACTTTCAGATAATGTTAATAATACAGGTTGTATTCCGATATTCAAAATTCCAACGAAAGAACGGCCTTGGTTGGAAGGCAGATTGATTTGTTTAGCGCGCATGCCTGGCGCATGCGTACTAACAATTATACGGGTATTTTCAGCCATTTTACTGCTTATTGAATCGTCGAATAAAAGGCAGCAATATTCTGTGTTATCCATTATTACTAGGTAAGTTCGGTGGCTGTTGAACTCGTGGTTTGTCAAGTTGTAAGCCTATATGATGCTCAACGTGCATTAGCATTTGGCGAAGCACATAACGTCTGAAAATAACTGCTGATAACTTGAAAGATTTTTTCTGATATAATTTTTTTAAAGATTTCCTCTATTCTTGGCCATTTCAGGATGAATTGTATGACTACATTATAGCATAACCAGTATATGAATGATTTAAAGATGACATTTTGAAAAGTAGGCTATGGAAATTATGTTTTTATGAAAGTTGGTAACCCTGCTAGGAACGTTATAGGGTATACCCGGTCACCCGGTTTTTTACACAAACGCCATGACATTCAACCGTATCAAGGAAACAGTTTTATCATTTAACACTCTGAGTGACAATTGTTATCCTCCTGACATGAATGATTTTAGAAGGCCTCCATCTGAAAAGAAATGTGTAAGGTTAGGCCTATATCGTCCTTAAATTGTAATCGGTCGTGTGCTCGCTGCTCAGGCCTCCGAGTAGGCCTAAGCTTAATACAATACAATGCAGTCTGCAACATTAATAGGAATAAATTGTTCAGGTGCCTGCTCAGCTCGATAAAACTACATGTTCTCTTCAAATGTTAATTTCACTTGCTTATTTATACCGCGCTTGCGCAAGCTGTCACATCCGGGTATTTTATGTTTATACAGCCATCTTTACCGCGTAGAAATTATCGATAAAAATTGACTGGAAATTGTGTGTTTTACCATCTGAATAAGGTAGGTTCGAGGCTCTCGTGCTATTTAACAGTTACGTTTTATTGTCTGTTAAACGTTGAACAGTACTTCGATACATTACATGAATAAACACACACACAGTTTGACGATAAACCAAGACCTATTTTCCCTTTTAAAGTAGTTTTACATCCGGTTCACTCGAATATTTGTCGTTATGTGAGCAAATACCAAATTGTAACGAAAATCAAAGTTCTAAACCTGGGGTCAAGCTTAACTTTCAGAACGGCCATATGATTTAGCCTATAATACTTACTTTTCACTCATGGCCACGATTTCAAACATGAAATTCCAATGATCAAAGAAATCCTTGTCGAGTCGTCGGTCTCGACTGAGACCATCATAAATGTTATAATTAGTCTCACTTATGTCTCAGGTCTCGATAAGACTAGGCTTTATATGTAGGCTATGTGTACATGTGATGCTTGACGAGCATGAAATGATCGTCAAGTTGTCGATCTTAATTTTCACAGATTTTTATTTGGTTTAAAAATACTTGGTTTCATAAGTTTATTGACTGTCAGTTAAAGGGACTATTTTTATGCGCAGTACCACTTATCCTTTATGATTATCACTCTAAGGCACATCGTCAATTAAAGATTGTTGGAAATTTAAAACCTGCTCAGCGTTTAATGAGATTTGATACCAGTACGGTGCACAGAACGGCCTATATACGACTCATATAGGGGTATCCGTTTGAGTTTGTTGAGATTTGATACCAATTCAGTGCACGGCATCCCCTATGTGAAACACATATGGAGTTTCAGTTTAAGGCAAATCATCAAGTTAACTATGTTGAGATCTGATACCAGTATTGCGCACATCACCCCATTTATGGAACACATATGGGATATCAGTCTAAGGCACATCATCCACTTCAAGTTTGTTAAGACTGAGTTGATACCAGTACTGTGCACAGTTAAGGTTCCACATCGATGACTTGTGCTATGATTAAACCATGAAGCCATCTAAATAGATTAATATGATACTCCGTGTCACACGAATATCTCTCTAATGCAAAATAATCGATCATAATTGCAAATATAAAAACATTATTGACGTAAAGACCCTGACACTGGTATCGAGTGAAAATTTGTTTTAAATTCATCCCGCTCACGGTAGTTTGTTTGTTTCATATTTAATTGATGTTGACTATTATCCATATATATGGGGTGTAATACACTTTTGAAAAGGATTTTTTTAACTTGGATACTTATACATCATGGATTTGATGGCTTATGCTCAGTTATGGTATTTTTAAAGCACCGTATGTTTGTTGCACTTTGGTACATTATTAGCAACATGTAACACAAAACATACAAGAGAAATTGAAAATTGTATTTTATCCGTGCAATGATAAAAGCGAAGAAGGGTGAACTGTTATTTTCATTTTCTCAAAATTCACATTAATTATATTTCTTGCAAAAAAGCTTTGGAGATGGTACAGGCTCCTAATCCCATACTCTGCTATTCCCTAACATGGGGATCAAAACGTTTTCTAGGTTTAGGTAAAAAACTAAGTTGATGACACCAACTTTTTTCGATTATCATCATGCCATGAACCTTTATATATCACTTAACCATAACGTAAAGAAATCTGGTTAGAGATTTATTATACCTTCCGGATAAATTGTCATGTGTTTCTTGAACTGTTGGAATTCATTTTTTCTGAAACACATACCGAATTCTCATCGTCTTTCTGGAGAAATATGACAAGGCACACCCACGCTGCAAAAATTAGGTTGGCAAACTCACTCCAGTACAAAGAGTAACGTATTCACTGATCTATAAGGTTTTAAGCCAGTCCCGTCCACTGAAGATTTAAAGGTATATTCCTTGCCAGGCCATCTCTCTCCTAATATGGTAGCTATAACCAAAGGATAGAAATGGCCTGTCCAGAAATGTCACTTTAAGCATACTGTATTGAAAATCGGAATCTAAATCTATTTAGAAGATGTATGTATATAAAGCTCTACCTTTTAAGAAACACAATAGGTTAAAAATCTAAAGCTGATAACACAGGGGGATCCAGAAGCTAGGAAGGGGGGGGGGGGTTCAAGTCAGCTCAAGAAATTCCGCCGAAAATTATATAACTAAAAACTGGGCTTGATAATTTGGCCTAAAACGGCCTAAAAAGCCAAGTTATGCTCAATTAAAAAGGCCCATTTTTGTGAGCATCACGGAAGGCAGTATTGTTTTCTTTCATCCTGGTTGGTTGTGGAGGGGAGATTGTTCAATAATGTTATTGTTCTGGGGAAAATGCTATTCTTGTTTGTTTCGGTTCTGGCAAAGGGAATGATGAAGGTTTTTCTTCCAGTTCTGTTAGATTTCTCGATGTAGGGGAAATAAGTTTTGCCACTTCATTATAATGAAGGGAGATATGGAACAGTGTAACTGTTCTCTTGGTTTTCCTTCTGTGCTCAGTGGTCCCCTGAAGAAGGGTATTCAAGATGGGGCCTGACCAGAGTATACGAGCCGTGACTTTGATGTTTTGATGTTACGTGGGTTGCTGTGGAGGTCTCGCCTTGGGAAGCCAAGGGGATGGCTAATGGCTTTGTTCACGTAGGTAGACTGTTGTGGTGAACATCCTCCTGGAGTGAATATGATCTTTCATTAAAATTGTCACGATTACAATATAGTTTGCTCTCGTCATTCAATCTGTTAATGGCATGGCTATTTTTGAAATTTAAAAAAAATTGGGATAGTACTTCTATTGCAGCCTAAAGATTATCTTGCAAAATTGAAAGAGTAGACCCCCTCACAATTCTCATGAATTTAAACAAATCCACATCAACAGTAAAGTTTGCAAAGATACATAGGTCTATTTGTTGAAGCTACCTAAATTCTTTTTCAGAAAAAAAGACAGTGTTAGACTGTAAGGGAAAAAATGCGCGCTTTCTGATGAGCTGGCTTCCGATTGTCTAGTCTTTAGGCCCAGTCTTATTACACATTATTCCGTCTATTCTTAGAATTTGAGCCATTTAACCATAGGGTGAAACCCTAGTTTAAACCACAATATAACATAAAGGCTGAAACGGAAAATTGTGCTTGTGTAACGGCTAGATTAGACCAAAAGTCGAACCCAAGGTCAATCCCTTCTATTTGCTTCGTTTTGCGCATGCGCAATCTGCTACATACGGGTATTGATATATCCATCTTTACCGTGTAGAAATTATCGATAAATTACAGGCAATTCTGTGTTTTATCTTCTGTATAAGGTAGGTTTCGATACTTCACGTGCTAGTTCGCAATCGGGTTTATATTGATTTAAATGTAGAGCAGTTATTCGATAAATCATACTGATAAATGAGTGACAAAACATTTCGTACAATTCCTTCGCTTTTTCAAATGACTTTACATCCGGTTCATGTTTATCAATTGGTGAAATACTGACGGTGTATAGTGTATACTACAGTCAATCGTGATTGTTTTATAGATCCACTGCACAAGGCTACATTAGCCGAGGTCAGCTAGGCTACAATAAATAACGAGAGTAAATAAAACTTCTCTCGAGACTGAAACTAAAGGACGATCTCGCTTTCGAGGGTGGCCCGGGATAAGTGCATAGTACAAAATGTCATGATTCATTTTCGTCGGCTGCATTTGTGATCGCAAGCTACATGTATTTTGGGCACGATAACTACATGTAATGCGTTGGCGATACAGCTAGCCTATGCGTTCCGTTCCGTTCCTTGTTGATCCATCGAACGACGTTCGGGTAGAGCATGGGGGTAGATATAGAGAATTACTCCTTTCTTTCCCCGGGGTTCTCTCGTCTGTTTGGTCGTTCATCTTTCCCTCTGGGCGATAAAAGGTGCAATTTTCTTGATTAATCAGACTACATAACCTCTGCTCGAGAATTTTTTTAAAATGAATTAGGCCTTTGCTATTTACTCGAGTCTTTAGCTTAGGCCTACAACCGGAATATACTATAGAGAAGGCTTTGGACCAAAGTAATATGCTATATACGTGTTGATGGTTTTGGGATTCACTTAGACAATCATTTGAAAATCATTTAGGTTAATTTCATAGACGAAGGTTATCAATTTAGATTTAGATAAAACTGTTACTAAGGTAAAACTACTTATATACGGTTTCCGGAATATGGTTCTCATGAAGATCGGCAACAGGCCACTGTTCAATGGTCTGTAATACATGGTGTAATAGCAAATTATAAACTCAACCTTTTAAAATTGCTTCTAAATTAAAAAACAGCTGTTTGTTTTTGTTTTTTTCTTAATACACACGTAATTTCCATTATTTTGCCTGATGAAAAATTACATCGTAAAGTACAAGGCGTAAATGCAGTGTAGGTAAAAACTAAAAATGCCAAGACATGAATAAACTTTGTGAATGCATTTTTTAAGTCCACCGAAAATATATTGAAAACATTTGAACGATAATATTGACCTGTCACGGACACGTTACTCTTGTGAATAACGTATGTCATAGTACCATTCGCTTACCAGAGAACGTTTGGCAATCCGATCAGTTATATAACGTATCATAAATGTCATTAATATAGGAAATACAGATATGTTATGGTTAGGACTTCAGTTCAACATTGTTAGTTTGAAATTCCACTAAAATGAAACCAAAAACGTGTCTTTTTGTCATATACATGTAGCTTATTTTACTTATAGTGCTATTTTTATCATGCACCCTATTACGTCGTGGCATACTTCCACTGGGTTCGACTTGGCAAACCAATGTGATACATTGATTCACAGTGCCGAATCCAGGAACCAACAAGGCGGGGCCCAAATTTGCGGTCAGAGAAAATAACTTCCGCGCTTGCGCGAATTTTTCTTTGAAAAGTGGGCCCGAATTTTGAAATTTTGAGGCCGATTTTCTTCAAAATTTGGCCTGAAATTAAAAATTTAGGCCTTAGAAGGCCTTGTAATGACCAAAAAGGCCCGCTTTTTGGGGCCTTAAGGACTTTTTTGGCCTAATCTTTTTTCTGGGCCTAACTTAAGGGGGGGGGGGGCCATGACCTCCCGGATCTGCCACTGATTCAAATGGTCATCCATCAGTTCTTATTTTAAATGAATTTTAGACTTTACTAAGAAGGAGAGGTAATCATTCTGCGACATTGGCGTCTCCTGGTTTTCTCGTTAAACAATTGTTTGTTTCGCTTTTAAAAATGACGAGACTCCAAAATTGTACCGTGACAATGTTTCAGGCATCCATGAAAAATGCAATGTTGTGAAGATATTGTCATTTCGAAAATGACATTGATTACTTGAGATTGTATTTTCAGTTCACTCTGTTGGCTAACAGTGTGGTGCCCACTGGCCATCACGACGATGTGGTGCCCATCACGATGATGTACTTAAGCGACACGGGTCTTAATCGATTCGGTTTATAGGTACGTATAGAAAGATTGGGTCTATCGGTGGAATTCAAGAAATCACAATATGAGTTAATTAAACATTTTTTCCGAACTTGAAGAAGATGTGAATATTTCAGAAACCATATAATTTTCGTTGGCTTTCGATTGTCCCATTTTATTAGTGTTCTGTTAACGTGTTCAAATAATCAGATGAGGGTCACTGAAAAGACAAATTTGGTGTTTAAATGATTTAATCGCCGTCAGCGATATTACATGCAAATCTATATGACCTATTTTTCCTCAGTAATTTTGATGTCAGTGATAAATATTCAATTATTACATGTGCGAAATAAAAACCTTTTACATATTGTAGATTTAGTAGGTGGACACAAAGACTAGAGGGAACTTGATAGGACGGGCGCCTACATGTACCCTTCAACAGCCGTCGTTCAATTTTGTAAATCGAAAACAAAAAGTATAGGTAAAATATCATCAACTAAGATAAAGCCCGTTTGACATTAATTCCGGATAGGTATAGACATTAGTTATATGTAGCGAATAATCTCTGATACAGGTACTAAATTTTAGAGAAATATATGATGTAATGTTAGACCATAATTCTTTCATAATTTTTCATATATCAAATATTTGTCTGTGCGTGGCTTGCGTAACTAGTAAGCGTACAAAAGATTTTACAATTTAAGAATATTTTTCCCAGTAGAAAGTCTTATTTAACAGTTTACCTTTTTGTAGATTTGGCAGCTTAAATCACTCGCTGATGGACGCTTCCACAAGACAGAATCTTACAGGTTGTAAAGTAGTACAGATAGTCAACATTCTATTTTGTGACTTAGAATATAGGTAAATTTTCACTGACCTCAATAAGGTAGCCTTTAAACTTTCGGCCATGAACCTAAGTATAAAAACCTCAAGGCATTAAAGCGCAAACGCAAATTAGAAATAGTTCTACCTCTCAAAAACTGGAAAATGAAACCCTGCTCTCGAAAAAATTGAAAAATTGAATTTAGTTCTCTATTTCAGTTTTTATACCACGAATACTAAAAATCTACATACCATTGAATAAAAAACATGTACTATGCTAGTTTTAGTAAAAATAAATTTTGAGATACTTTAGAAGGATGCAATAGAAAGTTTGTCAGTCAGTAAAATATGTTGATTTATTTATTCAGTGTTTTATTCTTATGTCTTTCATGGGGTATTCATGAACTTGAGTGGTTTTAAATGTTTACATATAACTATCACATAAAAATGTAAATATATCGAATAATGTAATAATAAAGCTAATATAACATGATTTCTTGTGATGTCATATTTTAAACTTGTTGATATGAAATATCAGCATCATTTCGTGTTGTTGGGCACTTGTGGAAAATCGTATCACTTAAAATGATGTCTACTGTTATATATCTACATAGCATTCTCTACATTTGTGTTCAAAATATCATGCTTCCAAATGGGATTTTTAAGCTTGGTTCATCTTCGTTTGCCGCTATTTTTGGATTGCTGTGAGCTATATTATCTTCATCATTAATCATAATTGTTGCATGAAGTTTCAAAAGGGTATAGTCTGATAGTAGTGATACGAAAAAATGTCCTTTGCTTGTTTGTCTAAAGCAAGATTTGAGAGGTTGGTTTCTTTTCGAAATGATGTATTTTTGTTAGATTAAAAATGAGATGTGATCGTCTAGAAATGAAAAAAATGAGATGTGATGGTCTAGAAATGAAAAAAAATGAGATGTGATCGTCTAGAAATGCACTTTGGGTCAAGCTGTACTATACGTTAGACATTGGAATATGGGCACCTTACCTCCGGAAACTACAAATTGGGTTAAAATAAAGATTTGATTAAATCCTTCGAGATGTTTTGTTCGAATTGAATGACAGTAACTGACATTAAATGGTCACATTTCACCACGTCTTAAATAGATATCTAATGCAATTTCATCATAGTTAGGGAATCCATTCATTAAGTGGGAAATCAAGTTTCACGTTCAATCTGCGGTTGAATTTTTATATCACTAGACAAATTGTTATAGCCAATATATTTTGTAACTGACGTTCGTTAACATTTCGTCATATTAATAGTGCTTTGTGTCCTTCAATAATTATTCTTCTGTGGCCATAGTTGATATACAACACTTTAATGTACTATACTATAATAATATATACTATACTGTCTATTATAATATTTCCGTAAAACACCAAAGGAGGTGAAAAGAGAAAGTTACGTTATTTAGAATGTTTTTCTCTTGTATTTAATGTTAAAGTGTGTTTTTATAAATTCAACAAACTGAAGAGTAACAGGGGTGTACCAAACGTTTTCAAAGAAATCAGTTACGTTAGTGATTAATTAATTATTTTATTATGATGTCACAAATAAATAGAATACTATAGAGGTCACGCTGTCAATAAATTAAATTTGATTTCTGTAAATTGGCGAATTCCAGTGTAAGTTTTCTCATCTGTTGACATTTAAAACACTGTCACTGTCTGAAGCACAGAACGTCCATATTAACTAAAGATAATATTTTTGAATCAAGTGAAAAATATGACTCATTTAAAAAGAAAACAAATACATTAAAACCAGTAATGCTGAACACCTCTGTTAGTGGAACACATCCATAAGTGAAACACTATTCTAGCACAATGTGATTCACAAAGGTGTTGTGACTTAATATGAAACTATGTGTGTATTTCATTTGACCAACTGATAATAGGGCAGACTCTGTATATTTTCATTCATTTGTACAGCATTGGATGTGAATAAATAAACTAATTTAAGTAAATTTCTTATTGCATTCAGTTTGGTTTTGCGTGATCCCAACGCATAGCAGGCCTTTATGATGAAGAAAGTTACAGGGACTCCAGTTCAGAATGTGGCCACAGTCAGGCCCCAGACTTCAATCTCCAATGTTGCCACAGTCAGGCCATTTCAACATTTGGATCAGTCAAAGGTAATATTATAAATACTAATACAGCAATCATTTTGCATAACACGAATAGATATATTGCTATATTGCACTTTGCAATGTAAGTAATATAGGATTTATTTATACTGATGCCCTATACATCACATGATATTAATGCCGCCTGCTATATTGCACTTTGCAATGTAAGTAATATAGGATTTATTTGAACTGATTCCCTATACATCACATGCTATTAATGCCATCTGTAATGTAACTAATATAGGATTTATTTGTACAGAATCCCTATACATCACATGCTATTAATGCCATCTGTAATGTAACTAATATAGGATTTATTTGTACAGAATCCCTATATATCACATGCTATTAATGCCATCTGTAATGTAACTAATATAGGATTTATTTGTATGTAATCCCTATACATCACATGCTATTAATGCCATCTGTAGTGTAACTAATATAGGATTTATTTGTACGGAATCCCTATACATCACATGCTATTAATGCCATCTGTAATGTAACTAATATTGGATTTATTTGTCCCGATGCCCTATCAAGGCCAAACTAACGCCCAATAATAAAATATTACATTAGTAAAAATAGTACCCTTTGCATTCGTTTGACTTCACTTCTTAAAAGAGAGCTTCGTCTTCGTGTAGTTTAACTAGACTCTGCACGCAGGGTATAAAAATAGAAATAAAGTAAAGAAAATAAAACTACATTTTTCAAATTATGAACATATAATATTACTTTGATATAAAGATATAAGAGTATGTACCTCTCTGTTCTATAGTGTAAATTATGAACTTTTTTTTTATAAAAAGTTTTTTTCTGAGATTTTGAATAAGCATTATTAGCACAAACACAGCAAACTTTCAGAAAATTATTGTACCAGGTTTAAGTCTCACCACCAAATCCATATTCCTTTTCTGAAAATAATGGTGCCAGGACAAGAAACTAGGGAAGAAGTCTAATTGACAAATTCATATTCCTTTTCAGAAAATTACGGTGCCAGGAATAGGGACTGGGCGTTACACAGAAGGACTAAATCTGCATATCTCTATGGATGGATCAGTACAATCAATGGCTTCCTTAACACAACGCCATCCCTCTGTAACATCCCTTTTACCAAACCAATTAGGTAGACTACAGATACAACCAGGCATAGTACAAGGACAATCAGGTGCTATCCTTTCACAAATAGCACAAGTAGTTCAATCAGGTGCTCTACAGAATACCATTAATGTTGGACCACAAATGGTACTACAACCCAGCACAGATAAAGTTTTTAGTGTAGGACAAATACCCCAAAACAATTTGAATTTACAACAGAATGTAGTAGTACCAAATTCTCAAAGCTTATTACCAGGAAGTGGAACAGCAATTCTGGCACCTACAGGTCAGCAATATGTCACACCAACATTAGGGTTGATACCCATTCAACCGCAGGTCCAACAACTCACAAACTCAACTCAGAGCCAGGGGCCTCTTCATCAAAATCCTCCTTCTAAGCCTCAAACATTCTTTATTCCTTCATCAGAATTGCAAAAATCAAAGGAGCAGCTATACCCCATACTCGATATTCTTCAAACGTCAGGGGCAACAATAGGGGCCAATCAGACCTCATTAAATGTCCAAAAGATGGATATCGATGGCAACGTGCAGCATATGGGACATATAGTGAAATCTAGCAAAACATTGCCTATAGTCGCAGGAAGTGAAGCTGAAACTGTGGTTCAACCAGTTCATAATACACAGGGAAATCTTAACTCTGTTGTTAAAAGGTACTTGGATTTTCCTATTCAGCCTCTATTTTTCTGGCAAGATTTATATCTGTTCATTCAAAGTCATATGCTCCATCTCCATAAATTGTATCAAGATAATTTTAGTTCGTTAAATTTCAATTTATTGAATGCATTTGATGTTAGTCCAGCCATACATTACACCTAAATCATGTAAACTGTCTAATAATAGGGAGGTTAAGATTAGTGTAAATAGTCCAGTTACATTTACCTAACGTAGTTTGTTAGTGCACTCCGCAATACAAATATATGGATAGGTATAGGTGTACATATATTTTTACGCTAATCTTAACCTCCCTATATTAAACTTGCATGATTTATTTTATGACACTGTATATGGTCATATAGGTTTACCTTATTTCTGAAATCATATATAGAAAAATTAAGTTACAATACAATAATGTAAAAATCATGAATTACATGTAATTAATACAAACATTTTATAAAAATTATATGTATATTTTCAGTCCAAACCTAACATCTTTACTCAGTAAAATTGATGATTCATCAGTGAAAGATGGCACTTCTGGGTTTGACCTCTACCAATGTGTGACCCTTAGATTCTTCAATAAGACGGAGTCTTACCTTGTCCCAGTACAGGAGAATCAACGAACAATTCAAATGGTCATAAACGGGAAAAGTCAGTTCGTGGAATTAGACAAAAGTAAGTTTGTAAGGATTGGTATGAATGGAAGTAACTCTAAACTTCCACCAGGGATTATACACATTGGGTCTAACATTAAAGACTCTCCCACAGAATCTGCGAATAGCATTAATACACCAAAGCTTGATATAGCAAAGCCACAAACAATTAGGCCTTTATTAAAACCTGCTCCAGTCCTTCCTCCTGAGAAGAGTCTGGCAACAGCTAAGGCTGCTGTACCTGTATTAAAGAATGTTACGTTTTCATCTAAAAAGCCTCCAATCAAATCAGGAAAGTGGTGTCCGGTTGAACACTCGAAATCTGGTAAAACGACTTTGTTGTTCATTCCTGACAAAAATCAATCAAAGGTCAAATCAAAGGTCAAACCTCCAACATCGAAGGACCTCAGAATCGGATCTAAACCTGGAAAACCTTCTACATCTGATCATAATAGTGACAGCAATGATTTTGGACTGAAAATTACAAATGTATGTAGCCTCAACAAAGACACAGGGGGAAATGTCCCAGCAGCCCCCACCCCTTCCCATGATGCAACTACAGGAGAAATTAAAACTGAGAATAATGAGGTCCTCGCTGAGATCACTGTTGACGCCATTGAAAGTGTGGTGGATCACATGAATGAAAATGAAAAACTTGAAAGAAGAGATTCTGATACGGACTCTAACACTGAAGCTCTTGGGGAGGCTGACATAAGTGATTCTTCTGATAACCTGGTCACAACTTCTCTAAATGGACCTGAGTTTGCAAGGGACATATTGGAACACATAGGATCTGGAGGTAAGGTTCACTTAAAAGGGACATTCCTTACAAGCCTGTAGCTACCTTGATATGGTTAATACTGTTAGTTCATGAGAAAAAGTTTTTGGTTTGCTCAAGTTCATCATTTAAAAAAGTTTTGTTCATTTCATCTGGGCTGCCATTTTCAATCTCCGAAACCTTTCGTCCAGTGCAATCCGTTCCTCCTGTAGTGAAGGTACGCAACAAATGAAATTAATTTTGAGAAGGTGCCATTTTAAAGAAATTTAACAGGAAGTATTATCATTGACTCTATATTTGAAAAACAGTTCAGGAATGAGCACAAATCACCGAGAGAACTTTTTTAAATATTGTCTTGATTTCAAATGTCCTAATTTAGTATACTTTGACAAGTCATGAGTTCTCTTTGCTAAGAAAACATTGATCAGTTTCTGTGAGTGGAATTTTTTTTCTTTCACGCTATTAAAAACAAGTTGAAAGGTTGTATAGCATACTGAGAATTTTTAATCGTCAAAGTCGATCAAAGCAAAATATTTTCTCTTTTTTACTAATAATAGATTTTCGCAGCGTAATAAAGATAGCAATGGGGTTAGAAGGAGAAACTATTGAGATGTATCAATGCAAGGGATAATTAAAAGATAAGTTGAAAGTAAAGTTTTTTAAAATTGTCACTCCTATTTTTGCTCATCTTTTTTCTAAAGTGTCCAGAAGTTCTGTACATAATGAAAATGTATGTTGATGTCCACTTTTCAGTGTTATTTGATTTCAACATTTCTAGTTACATCTTAAATTAGTAATTTCATAATCATTTGATTTCAACGTTTTTTTTCAGATATTAAATATGGAATTACAAGGAACACATTACTTTTTATCCCATCGAACGAAGTTCGGAGGGATATAGGGAACGCCTCCGTCCGTCCATCCGTACGTACGTCCGTACGTACGTCCGTCCGTCCGTCCGTCCGTCTGTCCGTCCGTCCGTCCGGGCAATAACTCAAATACCGTTGGCCCGATTTTGTTCATATTTCGTACACATATACCCTATGGGGGTAGAAGTTCTGCTCGAAAGCCGATTTTCAAAATGGCCGCTCATTTCAAAATGGCGGCCATTTTAGTGACGATTTTACAGTAATTTAGGTGCAATATGTAAAACTGTAATAGCAATATGTTTTAAATGTAAAAAAAGTATAAAGGACATTAATAATGCTACAAATGTAGATATTAAAAAGCACATGGCAGCCATCTTGAAAAATGGCGGCCTTTACTCGTCATTTTACGATTTTTGCTGTAACTCAAAAAATAGTGGAGCGATTTTGTTCATATTTGGTGTGTGAATACTATAAGCATTGCACACTGTCTAAAGACACTTTTGGTAGACAAAATGGCCGCCATTTTAACGTATTTTACTATAACTCGAAAAGTAGTGGAGCGATTTTGTTCATATTTGGTATGTGAATACTATAAGCATGGCACACTGTCCTATGACACTTTTGGTAGAAGGCGGCCATTTTGAAAACAATTTTGAAAAATGGCCACCATTTTAATGTATTTTACTATAACTCGAAAAGTAGTGGAGCGATTTTGTTCATATTTGGTATGTGAATACTATAAGCATGGCACACTGTCCTATGACACTTTTGGTAGAAGGCGGCCATTTTGAAAACAATTTTGAAAAATGGCCGCCATTTTAACGTATTTTACTATAACTCGAAAAGTAGTGGAGCGATTTTGTTCTTTTTTTGATATGTGAATACTTTAAGCATGGCACATTGTCTAATAAAACTTTGGGGAGTAGTCGGCCATTTTGAAAAATGGCCACCATTTTTACGTGTGCGATTTTTCAAAAAAATTTAGAGGTGGCTACTTAAAAGCATATTATTTCTTCTGATGACAACTTGGCTAGTGAGCAACCATTTTGAAACTGGTGGCCTTTCTGGTGTGTTGTTTTATGATATTTGCGCTTCGTTTGTAAAAATGCCAGCCATTTCTGTTCGATGGGATTCGCTACGCTTTGGCGTTGCCGTTGTTCTGGTTTAAATTGTTAATTGGAAAATGGGCCTCAAATTTTCAAAATTTGGGCAATATTGTTTTAATATTAACAATGTATTTATTGCCAGAAAGTATCCATGATATGAGTATAGTGCCATACCTCACGCGGTCTTTTGGTATGACAAACGATCATTGAAACAAAGGACTTTAAACTAGGACAATTTCTGGAATAATATTCCTCTTATCCACATTATTTCACATATACAGGTTTATTGTCCACCCTTTTTGCAGATGGTCATATTAGGCAGGCCTGTAGCCAGGATTTGCCAAGGGGGGTTCAGTTTTCAAAAATTTCCAGGGGGGTTCACATTTGACAATTTTGGCCCAAATATGGCTAAAATCACTTGAGAAAGTGCTCAAAATGGTGAAAAACTGCATGATTTTGAAAGAATTTTTGGCCAGGGGGGGGAGGGGTTCGCCTGAACCCTATGAACCCCCCCTGGCTACGAGCCTGTTAGGGATCTTGCAATAACATGAACCCATATTTGGTCACATTTTACCCTCTTAATAACAGTAATAACTGAAAACTGTTGTATATAATTGGTTGTTTCATTAGAACAATCAGCACATGAAGTCTTATTTCTTTTTTTCTAAGTTACCGAACTTCATTCTATTATATTAGATATTAGATAGATGGTGCTGACTGTGACCCCACCTCTGCACTTTTAAAAAAATGTTAGGCTTATTTTTTGAAAAGGATCTTGTTTTTCTCAATTTGAACAAATCAAAAGTTTCTGCTACACTATATTAATAATTTCTGAAAGGGGACGGGTATTGAAATGCGCTTAAGTTAAGAACCACATCTCCCATGTTATTTTCCCATAGTGAAAACTCATGCTATCCATTGTTTTCAGCATTATTTTGGTCATCAAAAATTGACATAAACTATAATTTCAATTATACTTTTGAAGAAGTTTTAGACTTCTTGTTGAATAATATTTGCATAAAAATCAGAAAAAGAAGATCCTCTTTGAGAAAATTGGTTCAACATTTTGAAAAAATTGTTGACATGGGGTCCCTATATATAATTTTTTGAATTGTTCAGTTGATATTTTTACCATCAATGGGGACTTCACTTGAATGAAAACATATTGTTTTAATAAAAAACACTGTATTTATGACCAGAAAGTACTCATGGTGAAAAATATGACTGTCTAAAATCACTTGCCATACCTCACATGGACCTAAAAACACTGCATCTGCAAACTGCATCTCAAATATTGGCCATTGATTTATGCAAATGCAACATCTATTTCAGATATCATGCTTGAATATGCTGATCAGGGTCCAATGAATGCTCAGTTGGTGGAGTCCCCTTCTTGTGGTTCAGTTGGAAAGAAACAGAAACCCTCAAAGACCACCAAGCGTAAGTTGACTCCAACATCCAACGCATCTAAGGCAAAGAAGAAGAAAAGAATCGGAGGAGTTCCTGAACTTGATGCTGATCCTACCTACATCCCTGAGCATGATGTATCTCTGGAAACCAGCCACAACTCAGGTGAGGAGAAAAGATGCATATCAATGAAAGTTATATTTAATGCCGCAGTTGATCCATGTCAACTGTATGGTGGCCGTAGCTTCCAAAATTCAACAGAAATTTGCAGCATAAAATATAGGGATTAGCATTATTAGTATGATGTAGATTTTCTTTATTGACTTTGTGAATCTATGGGTGGTGTATGGGAGGCTTTATAAACAACTGTAGATTCACTTCTCAGAAATATGGAAAGCGGAAATTGTGTAAATATTTTGTGGCATTCTTAAATTTTGGGCTCGATCATTTTAACCAACTGAAGCCCATTTTCACAAAAGATAAGGCCCATTTGGTAAAAAATGTTGAAGTTATGCCAAGTGATTGAACAATATTTTCAAACTTTGCATAGGGCCTTTAAACAGCCTATTTTTTCTTTCTTATTTAACTTTGGCAAATAGTTGACTATCTAATGCTTTAGAATCATGGGCTGCTAGCCTTGCCCAAGTCGGTATTTTTTACTTATCTGATCTTGAATTATTACCGGCGGTCATAATAGAAATCAAGATAGTAAAAGAGACCGACTTGGGCAAGGCTAATGGGCTGCCTGATCACCTGTGTGTACTATAGCTGCACTAAAGTGTACTAAAGTTGCATCAAAAAACTATTTGAAATCTACTCTAATCAAGTAAGCATGAAAAAAACATTTGGAAAAATATACCTAGTATTGGCATATTGTTCTGAAGTCTGAGGAGGATTGTAAAGTACTAGTTTTAATGAAAGTCAACAATTTGTTGGTCTGATAGGTTAAGTCATTGTATGGTATGCTATTTCCAGGGGCGATCTGAAAACTAACAGGGGAGGGAGCAAATTTTAATTACCTTACACTTTCAAAGGGCATTATTTTATCTCATGCAGTATCATAATCAGGGAATTCCATGAGAAAATTAATCACAAATTCCCTTTTTTAGAGACTTATCCGTATACAAGTGTGCTGCCTAATTTACAGTAGCTGACATTCGCAAATTCAACTGACTACTGTCGACTTATGATTTGACCGCTGTTTTATGGCCAACTTATTTCATGAATAGTAACAGGTACTATTTATTTTTAAATGAGTTAAGCATAAAATACAGGCCTGTCAACTTGGGAACACCTAACATGAGTGACTTGGAAATGTTGAACACGCAAAAATAACTGGCGTGACTTCAAATTCTTCAGCAAATGCGTGACAAATACGCAAATTGCGGGACAGTTGACAGGCCTGAAAATAGCAGGTCAGATCATCAGCCGACAGCCGATAGTTGAATTTGTGAGTGCTTGCTGAGCTAACTTACCTTGTATTCGTGAATTCAAACGCCTATTGGCTACTGGAATAACCTACTATTTTATGGGCAACTCATTTAAATATGAATAGTATCTGCCACTATTCCATTCATATTTAAATGAGATGGTCAAAAATAGTAGGTTAATCTGGTAGCCGTTAGCGCTATTTGCATTCACAAATACAAGTTTACAAGTCTACAGGGCTATATTTGATCAGAATTGTGCACATATTGAACTTCTGTTTATGTTGACAAAAAACTTGATTTTTAAAAGGTTTTGAAAAACCGTTTTGAAACGAAAATTACGTCATTTGAATTATGGGCGCTGGTTGATAGGCGTTATGATAAATTTGAACTTATGATATACCAAATTAAAGATAAGTAAATTCCCTATCCACTGGTATATAATATGATACGTTTTCACTTTTCATTAATAATATCAATTTTTATTTTTGAAATACGAGTGTTCCATTTTTTGGACCACCCTGTAGATGTTTCATTTACAATGATTATCTGAATTATTCATCAATTGATCTTGGGCTTTCATGATTTCATTTTTGTTTTCATTCCAATATTCTGTCAAAAATATTTTACTGAAATGGCTTTGGTCTAATATGGCTAACTTAATTCACCAGTCATGTTAGACTTTAAACAAAAGCAAATTGTTACACTGGAACATGGTGGTCTATGAGGATAGATTTCAAATAATATGATGTTAGACAATAATGTCAGCTAAAATACCTAATGAGATTTAAGTCTTTGAGACTAATATTTTGAAATTAAATTCCAATTTAATAAAATTTAGCATTTAATGTTCCAAATTGTATTTTAATTACTTGATATGGACTTCTCTCTTTTATATTACTAAAGGTAGAGTATACCATTGATAGTGCTGACTGTGCATTCCAGGTACACAAGGTGTATTATACATTTAAAGCATGGTTTAAGCACCCTCCTTATTCTCATTGTTGTTTTGCATTCTTACAGGATCTGTTTTGCATTCTTACAGGATCTGTTTTGCATTCTTACAGGCTCTGGAAGAAGTACACGAGAGAGACTCATTGTTGTTTTGCATTCTTACAGGCTCTGGAAGAAGTACATGAGAGAGACTCATTGTTGTTTTGCATTCTTACAGGCTCTGGAAGAAGTACACGAGAGAGACTCATTGTTGTTTTGTATTCTTACAGGCTCTGGAAGAAGTACACAAGAGAGACTCATTGTTGTTTTGCATTCTTACAGGCTCTGGAAGAAGTACACGAGAGAGACTCATTGTTGTTTTGCATTCTTACAGGCTCTGGAAGAAGTACACGAGAGAGACTCATTGTCGTTTTGCATTCTTACAGGCTCTGGAAGAAGTACACGAGAGAGACTCATTGCTGTTTTTGTTTTGCATTCTTACAGGCTCTGGAAGAAGTACACGAGAGAGACTCACAAGTACCAGCTCAACTGATTATATCAATCTTGATGATGTCAAAGATGAACCAGTAGATATACTAGACTTTGGTACACCATCATATCAACAGACCAATAGAATCCCCACTAGAGGAGTAATCCAGCAGCACCAACAGGAAGAGGTTTACACTGGAACTGAAATCAAAGATATTCGAATCAAGCTTGAGAAAATTGATAATGTCATTGGGAAGCAACAAACAATTTATCTACCAAATTATCCTCAATTCAAAAAGAAAAGAAAAAAGAGGACTTTGAAACCTAAGCACAGATATAAGGTGTTGCTACCAAAGCCAGGAGGATCTCCTGGGCCTACATCACCCAGAAACCCCGTAGTCAACGTACTTAATTCCAGTCAAGGTCCATTGAAAACAGGAACAAATCTTTTACAAAGTGGATGCGTCCTATATAAGCTTCCAGACGAAACAGCAGTCTTGCTCCCACTGGGAGAGATGGGCAGATTAAATCATGATAAACAAGTTAATGCGAGGCATCTTAGTAAAACAGCTCTACAGCAGATTTGTAGGACGATTCCTCAAGTGGGTACCTCGTACACAAATCAACCATCAAGGAAAGACAGTAGTAATACAGCAAATGATGGCGCGATGCTGTTGAAACCATCATTTATGGTAGTGCCTCCATCTCAGAATCTACCAGGTGGACGCTTACAAGCTACGATAACTGCGCCCACTTTGAGGTTCAAACTCCCATCAGCATTACCAAAACAGAACCAGAGTACCTTACAAGCTGCTCGGAGTATCCTAAAATCATGTTTGAATCAGCAGACAAGTTCAGCTTCCAGTACCTCAACACAAAACACCACAACACAAAACAAACCAACCAGTCAACCTACATTAGGTACAGTTGCACTTACAGCTCTTAATAATGTCAGGAAAGTGAATGCTATGCACACTGGCACTAATCCTGTTAAACCTGGCCAAGCAGGTGTATTTTTACCTCCCAATAAGCTGATGCTCCCTACTCATATGATTCCTTTTACAAGGACTAAACAAGGTGTGGTTCAACTGCTACATAAGGCAGATGAAGGTCAGAATGACCCAAATGTCTCTAATGAGCAGGAGGGAAACAAGGACAACAATGAATCAGTGCAACCATCGTCACAATCACAACCATCGTCACAATCACAACCATCGTCACAACCTCAGCCTTCATTGATTGTGCAGTCGCAATCAACAGGAACAGCTCCATCTGTTCTTAAAACACAGTTATCAACACCTCCATCCAGTGATGTCAGTAATGCCATAATTAACCTGGACAAAGTTCTACATGCAAGTCAAGCACTAGAAATAACACCACGCCAGGGAAATGAAACTCCGGTAGCAGAGACATCTATAAATAACAATTCAAGCTCAGTAGAGAAGCTGGATTCGACTACGACTGACGAGACATCTATAAAACAAAAGGAAAGTCCAACCATCCAAAAACCCGAAATGGGATTTAGACAGAAGGACACAGTCCAGTGTGAAAGGGTGCAAAGGCTGAAAGAGATGTTGAAAGAGAAAGAAGAAGCTTTAATAAGAATGAGACAGTTAAGGCTTGAAAGAGAGAAAAAAGCAAAAGAGGAAAGTGACAGTGATGATTAGTCAAAAGGTTGTATCCAAGTTATACCTGTAGCCAGATTTTGCACGAGGGATCACTTTTTGAAAAATTCCAGGTTGGTTCACATTTGACCATTTTTGCCCAATGTGTTTCACAACCCATGAACCCCATGAACGGGCCTGCAAGTTGGATATAAACATAAAATTGTGTTGTAATTGGAGGCTTCATTTACCTTCCTGAATGTACAAACCCTCTTCTTGGATATAACTCGAACTGTATACTTTAAGGTATAATGACTTTATGTAGTCTGTAATATTAGTTAAGGTGCAAGTCATGTGAATGTATGCTTTAATGCCCTGTGACCAGTTTGGGAGGGGTCCTAAATTGAGGCTTGTACTTTTGTCTTTTATATATATATTATTCTAAGATAATTAAGGCTCATATAAGGTAATTATTATTATTATGAAAGTGCATATCTAAGGTGTTTAAAGTTTTCCCTTTTTGAATCAATAAGGAAGTTAAATATAAGAATGAGTATTTACACGTTAATGCTAGAAAACAGATATCTCTTAAAAAATGGAGATTTTGATTTGGTGATTCTAACAAAGTGTATTGTAAGATAATGCTAGTGTTTAATTTCAATATGATTAGGTCAATGTCAATTTGCCATTTACAAAGTGTATCCTACTTACACACACTGTACATTGTTCGAATCTGTTCTTGTTTATATAATGTACAAAGTCAACAAAATACATGATGATTTGAATGGCCACTTGTCACTTTCAGTTAAATCAAAATTAAAATACTGATATTAATTGTTTTGAAATCTGTTGGTAATCTTTCGGATTTGTAAGTACCAACATGGTGTGCTCAGACTGAAAACGTTTAAGGTGACGTAGTTTATTTCGATGACATTAATTCAAATGAGTTTTCTTCTTTAAAACCGACCTTATCCCTTCTAAATTGTATAAACTATACTTTTGGGATGTATTAAATTTGTTTAAGAGACAGAGGTAGACGTGACATCTTTTTAGAAACGGTGTGTCAAGTTCCATGTAATAATTTGTACCAAGGGTGTCGGTAATTTATCTTTTGTTTCGTGATATCGTTTTAGATCATTAAACGGTTGTGGTATCTAAACTGTTAAAGTGGGGAGGTTGGGCTACACGTTCTTAAGAGACTTGTACTGGAACATGTAGATATTTGATATTCTAGGGATTAATTCTCGAGTTCGTAGTATTTACAAGTACAATTTACGTAGTATTAAGTTATGAGTAAAAAACGTTTGAATTTGGCCCTACGAAAGAACAATTCAGAGGGGCAGTAATTCACGAGGTTCCTAATATTTTACGTTCATGCACAAGTTCTCTTAAATGCATGTACCTTATTGGCTAATAGAGGGCGTGGAAGATGTATATATATTCTATCTGTTTTGTATTCAACTGACACATTCTGGCATAGAAATTTCATTTCACAGGCTCTAAGACAACGTGGAACAGATTCCCCAGATGTTACACGTTGATTTGATGAACGGCTAATAATCTCTGTTTGATGGACAAGTAGTTATTGCTACATGTGATTTCCACCATGTCAGTGTCAGAGGTGCTATTTAATAATCCATCTTTAATAATTTGTATAGACAAGACACAGTTAGAATTGTACTACCAATGAAGCGAAACATGTGATCATATTTTGAGTAGTTGATATCATTCTCCAAACGCAGGTCTAGGCCTTGGGATTCACGCACGCTTCTTCTCTCTGCCATTGAGCAAAATTCCTGCGTTTGGAGGATGTTGTAATTTAGATGTTTTAGTTATATGTAAAGTAAAGATATTTATTTTTTAGTTATGTGTTATGTATCAGATATACTCAACATGCAATATATTCAAGAATTAAGTGTTGTATTTTTTTCAGTTAAACTTGTGAATAGTGAACACATATGAAGCCAAATATGTGGTTGGTAGAAATGGTGTTCATAGAAAACGGGTGTGCACCATGGCAAGTTTTACTGTATATGTAGGCCTAATTTGGGTAAAGCATATGTGTCTATGCATAAATCACACACCCTGCTAAAACGGCAAATGGAAAAGAGTTCGAATGATATTCTAATGTGCATTGTGGTAATTATAGAGCTCAAATATTGACTTAAATTACCTAAAACGTAAGTGAATCAGTCAGATACTCCCAGGAAATTATACAGTGGTCAGGGTCGAAACTCGATATTTTCCAACAATGAAAACGTCAAAATGTCGATATTTTCTGAAATTATAACCGACTATAAATTCAAAATAAACAGTTCAAAAGATTCGAACCAATATCTCGATCATTTCTTGCGAGTTTTGGAATTTTTTGTTACGAAATAAGACCAAAATTCACGATTCAAATGTTGAAGTGAACAAAACGGCGACTGCTTGAATTCGAATTTTGTATCACGATTATCATCCATATATGGGACAGAATATCGATGTTGCACTCTGGGAGCCTATCCTCCTTGCTGGTCAGTTGTATGTGGTAGTGTTAACCTAGTACAAATATAATATGACATATCTTTCGGAATGTAATAACTTCGTATTGGATCAGAATTGGCTATCAACACTATTCCTGTAGACGAATGATAGATTTTTCCTTTGCATGGGGTGACTTATTTTGTCTGAGATAAACCAGCCTTCAAGTTAAAAAATAATGTGCGAAATCCCGGGTTGATATTTCTTGGTAGAATGTCATGATCTGGCTCTTTATAAAAATTAGACGTTCAAGCCTGTGATATAGTGCCCTTAAGGTACCTCTGTATTTAGTATCTCTTTATATAGCCTTGAAATCGGGATTTAGATTTTGTGTGTCGAGGGTGTGTTGGTACATTCGCCAAATAAGGGCAAATATATGTATTTACGTTCATTATAAATGTCTCATTATCTACAGTATATAAATAAATGTCTTTTTCAGATTTATACCTGTCCATTTGTTAATATATGTTTCATCTGGCATTTTGGGTCACCGTGACCATCTTATAGATTGCAACCTCTTGATTGATATTCCAGGATCGCGATTGTATCATAAATGATGAGTAATTTAGATTTTGCTAAATTCGAGGCACCACCCCGTCATAGATCAATTACTATCAGGTGCTGTAGCACCAATTCAGACTACAGGGTGATTCAAAAATGTGACCCACTTTTCTTCTGAACATTATTTCTTTTTTTTAATTAATGACTTGCCCCAAACAAATATATGATTTTGTATTTCCAACACCAACTTCCAATTTTCCAGATTAAGGAGTTTTAGTATTGTTTTTAACAAAAATATGTCATTATTATGTTATTCGTGTATATAACATGTTTAATTAGTAATCGTAAATGATTCACTAGCCTTGGACTATAAACACACCTTTTTCGAATTTAATGAGATAGCAGTATTAAACTGACGTTTTATTTATTAACAAAATAGACGCCGGATCATGCGGTAGTGGTGTAGACAATCATCATAATTAACAAAATGGTGAGAAGTAAAGTGTACCAATCTAACTGAATTGAGCATCTAGACATACATGCACAATGGAAAACAGACTTTTATTCATCTCAATTACTTTGGCAGCATTTCTGTGTTACGTGAATGGACAGAGCGCAGAAAGGAGAGAGTGGTGCCACCTATTGTTCAATCCAGTCAATATAACAGATCTACACGAGGGTCAATCACGCCCGGTTCTTGTTAACTACACTTGCATAGCCACTGGGGAATTCAACGTAACACTACGACCAAAACACCCAGCAATATTTGCAGTAGACCGGGTAAGACACGTCTATATTGCTTCCCCAGGGAACAACTTCGGGGGACAATTTAACTTTAGCGTCAGAGGCTTGCGTCTTGGTCGTTCGTCTGTGGTTTTTGAAGCCACTGGGAGATTCAGCGGAGATTCCGAATGGACACCATCTACATCCCTCCGTGCTGTCGAAGAATACAGAGTTTTAGTGATACGTAAACCAGAAGCAATCTACGACGTGTTTCTGGTTATTCTAGCTCTGATGCTTGTATTAACTAATTTCGGTTTCGGTTGTCGGATCGACCCAGAGATAGTAAAGGCGGTCCTAAAGAAGCCCATCCAGCCTGCAATTGGGTTCGTGTGTCAGTTTGGTATAATGCCCCCGGTAAGTTTAAGGTGTTGCTGAAACATACATGTATTATGAGATAAGTGTTTAAACTGTTGTAAAAAGCCTGTCATGAACTATGCAATAGTTCAGTTAAGGATATAGTATGAAAAACTGTTTGGTTTGTTGCATTGTGCAACAAACATTTGGTTACTATATTAATACATAAAAGAATAAAACGAAACTAGTCTCATTCGTCGGCGTTCTTTCATTTTCCCTATATGGAAGCTTCTTATCCGAAAGATCATTTATATTTTCCCTCGCTACGTAGTAAAACTGAGTCATATTTTATTAACAAATTATGACCTTTATTTACATGGTTCTTCGATTTCAGTTGGCGCTGGGCATAGCTAAAATGTTGCAGCTAGACGGCGTAACCGGGCTGGGCTTATTGACCATAGGGGCCAGTGCAGGGGGAGGCGGCAGCAACATATTTACATTCCTCTTCAATGCAGATATCTCTCTCAGTATTGTCATGACATTTATTAGTACATTAGCAGCATTAGGTGAGTGCTCACTATCATTAATCCAACTAATATTTCAAATACATTAGCATGTCAGTGCTCATTACTAGACTGGTGTATTTAATATTTTACACCAGCAGCATTAGGTAATGTGCGAATACCTATTCTTAACTGACGATATCTTTTCTAAACACGCTAGCAGCATTAGGTGATGCGCGAATGCCTTACTACGACTGGACGACTACCCAACGTAACTGACGATTACTTTTCTAAACATGCTAGTAGCATCAAGTAATGTGCGAATACCCAAGTACTGAAAACTGACGATACCTTTTCTTAACACGCTAGCAGCATTAGGTAATGTTCGAATACCTAACTAAACTGACGATACCTCTTCTAAACACGCTAGCAGCATTAGATAATGTACGAATACCTAACTGGACTCATTATACCTTTTCTAAACACGCTAGCAACAATAGATTATGCACGAATACCTAACTAAACTGACGATACTTCTTCTAAACACGCTAGCAACATTAGATAATGTTCGAATACCTAACTAAACTGACAATACCATTTCTAAATACGCTAGCAGCATTATGTTATGTACGAATAACTAACTAAACTAACAATACATTTTCTAAACACGCTTGCAGCATTATGTAATGTACGAATACCTAACTAAACTGACGATACCTCTTCTAAACACGCTAGCAGCATTATGTAATGTACGAATACCTAACTAAACTGATGATACCTTTTCTAAACACGCTAGCAACATTAGATAATGTTGGAATACCTAACTAAACTGACAATACCATTTCTAAATACGCTAGCAGCATTATGTAATTTACGAATACCTAACTAAACTGACAATACCTTTTCTAAACACACTAGCAGCATTCCTATTTAGATAACTCGTATAGTGACTTAATATTCTGAGTATACTACGGCATAAGGTGAGTAAAATAAAATGACAATTATCACCCATGTGACACTGCATTTATGAATTTATAATTTATAAATTATTGCAAGTTAGCAAAATAACTTGCAATTAATGAAACGTTGTCCCCAGACAAATCTGAATTATTACATGTCAAATAGATATTACGGCAGATCTTGTAAAATGATCTTGACAAAAGGTCCATATAACCTACATTTTTACCCACTTGAAATAAGAACGTTAATCATATTTTTCATTATTTATGTGACAAATTATCATGTCTTTATCTCTGGATATTTAATTCAGGGTTATTTATGGTTTATGTCGAGGTCATGCTACTTCTTGTTTAGATAAAAATCTAGGATGCTAGGTTGACGACATGTATCATCGATTCTACTTTTATTCATGATGAGACATATTACATAAAAATTGGATTTTTCAAGTTCAATTCTTTGACCAATGATAGAACGGAAATACAGGGTGTCCAAAAAACAGGAACGTAAGAAAGTCGGATAATTCGGTCAATTTGGTAAAGATTAAAAGGTGGATTGGATCGAGTGGATTGGATTCATGTAAAAGGTGGATTGGATCGGGATTCTTCAAAATATGGATTTTCCTTAAAAAATTTATATTGATCTCCCATCAGACGATTAATGCTCTCCTCACTTCCACAATGTCAAATAATAGATGTTATATTATTTTGCTTGGGTAGGCTAGAAAGGCGACCTGATACCCAATCTTATTCATTCCAAGGGTAATTTTAGACATTTCACAAATCATAAGGCAGACTTTTGAAGTCGAAGATTCATATCATCTGTTTTCAATTCAAACAGAAAATGGCAGAAATGTCTTGGGGACACCCACACGTCAATTTGAACGACAGCTCTTATCCACAGATCTATGTTTATTCTGTCTTCCTAATGTTTATTATTTACAAGGGAGAGCAGTTAAATACTTTGAACTAATTGAAGTATGTATTTGTCATTTGTAATCACAAAATACTTTAGGCCGGAGGAAATTGCTTAGAGGGAGATCAACTAAAAAATCCATATTTTGAAGATTCCTGATCCAATCCACCTTTTACATGAATCCAATCCACTCGATCCAATCCACCTTTTAATCTCTACCGTCAATTTTGCATATTTTGCCTTGAAATTTAAGAATTATTTAGGTAATTTAATGTGCTTTTTGTTCTGAAAGTATGCACAAATGAATCCTGCGAACAAAGTTGTCAATAACCCTGACCTATACACATCAATGTGGATGGTATGAATCTGGGAAGTTATTTCCCAAAGGTTGTTAGGGGCTTGTCAGTATACATATTGGCTTTGAGAAATCCCTAAAGCTAAAACTCTGGGGGATTTAGATCTTGCGAATGAGCTGCCCATATGTTTTGCGTTCTGCAACTGATGAGTTGGCCACCAAAGCCTTGCTTAACCATTACAGCATATCATTTGCAGTGTTGGGGTGGTATTGGCTTGTTGAAACCACTGCCTATCTCCTTAGATGCCCCTTCTGGTGCTTAGTGACCTCTAAGAGGTCGACATAACTTGAATATACTGGTGATAGCACGTCCCCAGTCATCTTCGAACCAAAAAGGACTGATGAGTCCATGTTTGCTTATTGCCACCCACGCAGTGCATTGTTCAGAATGCAATGGATGCTGTAACACTTCATCAGGAGGATGTAAGCCCCAGTAGCAATCGTTCTTGGAATAAACTTGTCCATTCAAAAAGGAATGTGTGGAGGAGAATCATTAACACTGACTTTGTTCGCCGGATTGAATTGTACACGTACATAGAGAGAAGATGTGCACATTTGGGGGATTTTTTGTAAGGAACTGTAGATTTTGACTCAACTGGCAGATTACTATCAAACTTTCACAACATAATTCACATTGAACGAACTAAATAATCCTTAAATTTCAAGGCAAAATATGCAAAATTGACCGAGTTATTCAACTTTCTTACGGTCCTGTTTTTTGGACACCCTGTACAAGACCCTGATAATGAACTTAAAAGGGCATTATGGAATCTGCTACTATCCTTTGGAATACACTCTGAAGCATAATAGGTAAAGAGGAGCTCTGATAAATTAGAATGACAAAAGGGTGTCATGTTCTTACATTTATAAACCCCTCTTTTAGACTAACTGGGCATTTGCCGATATTAAAGAAATGAATTTAATCATAACCCCAAGGGATTAGTATAGGGTTCCCTTTGATTAATTATCTCGGGTTAAACTTGTTTAGCAAATAGCAATAATCAAGGGATCATTTTCAAAATTCAACAATTAAAACAATTGTATATTGTTTTTATATAGGAGCCTAAATCGTAGCCCCTCTTTATTTTTTACCAGTTTCTTAATATTGTTCTTTTATTTTTAGGCATGACGACCTTTTGGATTTGGGCCCTTGGTCCTTTATTTCGCTCTAGTGATGGACGCGTTTACATCCCCGTTGATGCCGTCATTTCATCTCTTCTTGTCGTCATCGTACCAGTCGTTATCGGAGTGATTACTCGATACTATCATGCAAAGATCGGGGACATTGTTAACAAAATACTACGTCCTTTTGTTTTTATTTTTGCCCTTATGCTTGTCACGGTTGGGTTGTATGTATATCTATATGCATTTGCTTTGGTGACTTGGCGGATATGGGTAGCATCCACTCTCCTTCCATGGATTGGGTTCACGCTGGGAGGTGGTTTCGCTCTCTTATTTCGACAGGACAAATCCAGAATCGTCACCATAGCATTTGAAACAGGTATGCAAAATATCCAATTGGCTCTTTTTATGAATCGCATCTCCCTTGGAGACCCCGAAGCCGACTTGGCAAATGTTCCTGTCATTTGGTATTTGGTGATGAGTCTCGTGCCGCCATTCATCATCGCCATCGGAGTGGAGATCAAGAAATGTGTCGACAAGAGGAAACATGGCGGGAATGTTGCAACAGACGACTTTGAAGCAGACGACACCAAGGCATCCATGGATGTAAAACAAGGACAAATTAATATTGCCACAATTTATGATGAGATTGAAGTAAATCCTGCTCAACTTGAGTTAACACCAGGACAAAAGAGGAAATTAACTCAAATATAACTTTTAGAAACATATAGAAATAGGCTATACAGCTGAGTATTCCAGTAGGAAGTGAAGGAACACTGCCTTGGAGTTACGATGACGGTTCCGTTGACATAACAATTGACTTAACTTGGGATTTGGTTCGTGGCACAAAAGCTTCAAGATTGATTCGAATTATAAAAATGGCGCCTTGGCGCTTAATCATTAAAGTTACACTTTGAGTTACCGCCATTTTGTTACGTTAACAGAACCGTTACGTTGTCGCCGTACCTCCATTGCGGATGACAGTATGACTCTTTATACAAGGCTGCTTAAATTCATCTTTTCCATTTGGAACGTGAATTTCTTTTGGAAACCTAAACGTTTCTAAGTTTTCTTTTATTTTATATCTCCTAATATATAACATAATTTAATAGTTTTTAATATACCCTGTTGCTTCATTTCCATCCAGGACACGTGCAGAGCATAGAAATATCAGGTTAAAGGTTTTTGAATCAATTCCATGCCTATTCCTTCATTTACACTTCTATTTGAGTGATGACATTGTTTTTTAGGCACCCTGTACTTTCTGTACAAAAACTCCATTGTCCTCTGCATCAAATCATACCAACCAAGACCGAGTTTAATGGAATAAATGCTTTCTCGCCTGACAATATATTTCAGTGGGATAACAACGTCAAACAAATCACATTTGCGGACACATATCTTAATAAATGTCATCTTAGGAAGCTCGATTTAAAGATCGTCGTACCGAATGACAAAATAGCACCTTTTTTGTTAAATGCCAAATTATCCTGTTCTGAACGTTTACAGTAGGCCTACTTGTGGGACAAATCTCAATTGAAAATTCCGAGCTTAAAAGTTTGATCCGCAGGGGCGCATGTAGTTATCTAAAATGTATAAAACATTATTTGTGATGCCAGGGCTAAACGATGAAGACATAAAAGAAAATGGAGTCTCATCCCTAGAATTTCGCATTCGAACTGACGTACATTGATTTTTCAATGAATGTAAAATTCCAATATCTCTTAATTCACTTGCAATAGCGATGCTCATTTTATTCAATCAAGTAGGTCGTTAAATGAAGAAATTATTTTTCAAGACATGTTCCAGTGAGATTACGAGGTCTTAAAGTTTAATTACCGTACAGGGACTCACCTCTTAGTGAAATCTTTAAACAGGTCTTGTGGCCAAAATACAAATAAACATACTGTGATACACAACACAGGTTTAGTAATAACGAAGGAGTTATGTTCTGAGAAGCGATAGTGGCACGATAATGGGGTGTTAAATGGAGATTTCTTCGAGTAAAACAATGATAAAATGGTGCTAATATATGAGGCTAGAATCTTGCTGTTTTGTGTTGCACATCATGGTACGATAACCTCCGCTCTTCTCAACACGCCGGGTTGAAATTTGAATTCATCAGTTGTTAAGATTACTCGCAGAGTTTAGAGATGTCAGCAAGGTGACAGAAAGGGCAAATCAGAAGAACAAAAGACAGCCCACAGACTCCATTTTTTGAATTTAGAAAACACCATCCATGTGACATATGTCGGCACGCCTACGCACATACATACGCTCGGATCGCGTGTTATGCAGTACAAGTACTAGTAAATACGCTTCTTAGATATCGTTCATAAAGTTCGTTTGTTCTATCTGTGTCTGGAATATCTCATGCCATTTCCATAAACTTGACACTTTACGTAATATGTTATGACTAATAGAATTGGTTTCTTAAGAAAATATTAAGTGTCTATGTAGGCCACCATTTTCACAAAAGCTTTAAATTATGGTTTTAACGGAAATAACTAAAAAGTGAAGAACTTTCTTCACACCAATTGGATCCACATGACATACGAAGTAATTCAATATATCAAGCAGGCGAGAAGATATCAAAAATACATCAACTGATCATGCAACGAATATTACTTACTTTCAACGAATTGTTATTGTAATCTGCCAAAGAAAAAGCGTAATTGATCGTGTCCGGTGAAAAATGAAGCAGACTCGAGTGCATAGTTCTTGCGTACACTCCCCTCCAAAAGTTTGATAACATAGCCTTCCTTTTGGATTGTGCGTCTAAGTCTATTTAAATGGTTATGAATTTTTGATGTGTTTAAATCTCAATTGCAAAAGCCTCAATTGTACACTAGTTTTCTACTTTATTATGTAAAAACAATAACTTGACGTATCTCCATCTAAATATGGGCAATGAAGCAAAACAATACAAAGATCAGATATGCATGAAATTCTAAAAATTAACACATGGTCAAATAGGACTGACTGGGTTTCCAGACTTTTAAAATGTAGTGTAGCTTCTATCTTATATACGTTTAACAAATTAGATATTTGCGATCAGGGGGATAACGTGATTGGGGCGAAGGGGAGTAAGCATCAACTTGTAGTGGTGAGGTGGGTTCTGGTACATGTGACTCTAGAAAAACTCTGTGACAGTTTGCAATGTGTTTATTTTTTGTTATTGATAGTAAAACTGACAGAAAAGATTAATATCGTCACGTTTCAGAACTGTTTTAGGGGTTGTATAGGATAGGCATTGTCTACCCTGCGCTTATTTGGGAATGTATTACCACTTGCTCCCGGCTCGCACTACCATCGATTCAATTTCAGTCAGTAGTGTATCGACGCACTTAGTCAGCTTTTGACACTTATTAACAAGAGACTATCGTGTCGTTCCTTCAATCGTTTCACATAATACAATTACATCATCCTACTAACAGCAATCTAATTTGGCTTGATTTCTACTACATTGCCAATTTTATTGACAATTGGCCATCGTGATATAGTAATTCTCTCGAAGCTTGCAAAAGTATCAATTTATATGGATATGCTGCCCTGGCGTCTCATTCTTGACCATTTTGACTAAATGTGGTTTGGAGGCTTGTAGCTATAGCTGCATTTTAGTATTAATTACCATGCTCAAATCAAGGTGTAAAAGAAATTATGGTCCTCCAGGAATTATGGTCCCCTTTCTTAACAGCCCTGATTGTGTATAAGATAATAAGGGAAAGAGGTCACCATATAAATCAATGGAGAGTAGGACCATAATTTGATAGGACTTCCTACCCTTTTACACCTGGCCTCAAATAGTACACTGTGTATGTAAACAGTGTTGGTGGTTCAATGATTGATGTATGATTTCACGTACTGTAATATTCATTTTATTCAATATTTTTCACATACACATAATATCATAAAGCATGTTTTCTTACATCAAGCTTCACATGCTTTGTTCACCACCACAAAGTGGTGACATATTGTTATGCCATATGGTCTCCATTTTTGACTCCATTTTTGTGACTGCGGTTGACGATCGGCGGGTGGCGATTGGTAGTTGGTAGTTGGTGGTTGGCGACCGGCCTCTGTAACAAATTCTGAAGTTCAAATCTGACTTTAAGATTTGTCCTTCAATGACCTTCTCAAGGTCAAAACGGTTAGAAAAGGCCAAAAATATCTTTTTTCGACTTGCTTCAAGACCCAAATTTTTTTATTCAAAATCATCCACAAAGTTCTCAAAAGTTCAAATCTGACTATAGATTTGAGATTTGACCTTCAATGTTCTTAAGGTAAGGTAAAAAAAGAAAGGTTTTCAACTTGCTTCAAATTGACCAAATTGTTTTTCAAAATCATCTACAAGTTCTCAAAAGTTCAAATAGATTTGAAATTTGACCTTCAATGACCTTCTCAAGGTGAAAAAGGATTTGACCTCCAATGACCTTCTCAAGGCCAAAAAAGTAGTTTCTCAACTTGTTTCAAATTTCAATTCAATTCAATTTCAAAACATTTTATTTCATTTTTCATTACAAATTTACAACATTATATGGGCTTTGACATCCCAGGGGTGTATAACTGCCCATGATTAATTTTACATGAACAACTGTGAGCATTCAAAGTGGTACATACATGTAGATCTATACAATAATTGACCGATATTTTTATTGAAATCAGAATGTCAAATCTGACTTTAGATTTGACCTCCAATGACCTTTTCTAGGTAAAAAAGATTCATAATATTGTGAGCAACTAGGTGGTGACATTTGGTCATGTTAATCTCTTGTTAGTCTTCTCTTAGTTTAAATGCTAAACTTTCACTCACACATCAATTTTAGACGCCGGGCCATTTGGAGAGAATACTTTATATCTTTGTACTACTCTTGTACTCGTATATCTCAAGGAAATGAATAGGAATAGAGATAAAAAATCAGATCTCGTTTATACCTACATTTATCAGTCTGCTCATACTTAACGTTCCCTTCTTTTAGTGGTCTTGGAACTTTCTAGAGAATGGAGCAGTTTCGTATTCGTTTGATTGGAAGTTAGTCTAGCAGCATGCTCTTGTGACCCCCCCCCTACCACTACTTGACTACGCACCTTCTCGCACAGATGATGTGTGTACGGAGGAGGGAGGGGGGGTCTCACAAGGGCGTATAGCTAGACTTATTAGAAGTCAAAATTACACTGTGTATTTTTGCACCAGTCTTCAAAATAAAGTTAACAAATTAAGAAATGTGCTGACAAGTAAAGACATTATGTTAATAAATGAATTACATACTGTTAACCGTTTTAACAAATAACAATCATTCTTCAAGATGGCTAGACATCAAAACACTTCTAAATAATGAAATATGTGTTTATGTTGTAATATCTGCATGTCTTTTATCATTGAAATGTAGACATTTAATTTTTCAATAAATATGATGTATTTGTACATAATTGTAAATAATGAGTTAGAATATGGCACTCTATTTATTATGTTGGTTTCATTGTGTCGATCTATGTTGATATTGTCAATCATCGTCCTTCCTTGTGATTTCCTATTATCCGCAAATTCTTCAAATTACAATGGGGTAACCGTTACGATGACAGTAGTTACCGTAACATACACAGCTTTTCAAAATAGCGGCAAATGGTACGTTTTTACATTTTCTTTCGAATGGTTTCCCTCCAAATGTATATATGGTTTGCTTTACGACTAGTGACATCGCATGAACGAGACATGGAATTTTAGAATTAATTTATGTTCCTCTATGTGTTTGTTCTTCCCCCTTCGTACTTACTTGCCAAAATAAAAGTATAAAGTATAAAATAAGAGTATAAAGGTACTGTACAGGTGGGGGAGAGTACTGTAATCCCTTGGGGTTTACACCTTCACATACTAGTACACGTTCTCTTATATCGCTTACCCTATTGTAAAGGCATACGAATACAAAATAAGTCCACAATCGGTTTAGATAGTCAGCGTGGTATAGTCTCCTAATGTCCCTTCTGAAATTAGGAATTTATGAGATATTATTACCAATTGCAAACTGACCAAGGAGAGATTGTAAAATGTAAAAACTTTAGAATGTTACGGAAGTTAGAGCTATCGTAATGATCACACACCCAACTGAGATTCTAGTATATATGAGATGTACAAATCGGATGTATCTTATAGACAGGCCCTTTAAATTTTGCGAAATATTTCCCCATGGAATTTTCAAAAATATGGACATAAACCTTCATTGAAGCATACTGCAGCAAAAAATCACAACATTGTCAATCGATCAATTCTGAATATTGATCCAAGAAATATGTTTTTACGACTTTTTCATAATGAATCTTCGAAACTACACACCCATTCTCAATAAGAATGCAAAATAGGTGACCCAGGGCTCAATCTCAGCATTTACATTACCAACATCACTTTTTGTTGTATATATAAATAGTATATATGACCCTCTACCTAGCACGTTTGTAATATATGATTTCTCAGTTACACATATTTTATTATATGTACTAGAATAGGGCTATTCATCAGTTACGTGACTGTCGCCATATCAAAAATCAGGATTGTATGGTGCCATTAGAGAATTTTTCATGCATAACATCCCATATAAAGTGGTGTATTATACACAAGGCGATCCCAGCTTCTGGTTAAATGACAGAAACTATCATTTTGACATTTTAACCATGTTGAAACTGTTCCTTGACCAATGTCGCCAGACTTTTTTATATCAACCCTCCTGTGCTATAAATCATATAAAAACTGGTGAAAAATTAATGTTTCATATGTGCCATATACGTATCTGGATTCCAATTTGAATACTTAATAGAAAGTCGTAAAAGTTGATATTTGAAACGTTGAGATTTTGGGGCCAGAAAATTATAATTCCCGTTTTTCATGAAGTTATAGATAAGAAAATCATTTACGTGATCATAGTTTTCACAGGCAATAAGTGTCTGAGCAAATTAATGTTATATCACCTTATTGTATGGTAGGAGTGATCCTTGTTGATCAGTATTTTTAACTAAATTGACATTGTTTGAATATAATACAGCCAGCAAAAGGGTATTTGCATCATTTACGACACCATCATTTACGATACCTAGTAGTACGAAAATAACGGTTACCATACTCCTAGCTCTGAATAAAGTTTATAAAGCGGGAAATTTGAGTATTCATATTCATTTGAATCTGAATAAAGAAACACTACCACCTTTGTAGAGTAAATCCACACAATTTAAGGTATATATCACACCTAATATAGTATCGCTCTTGTAAAACGAAGATGTAGTGTTAATTTGATGTTATCTATGGCATAAAGACAGTCAGTATAAATGTGAAGATGAATATAAAAACACTTTTCTATCATTCAATTTGAATTGAAGCTATAGTCTTGCGTTTTCTATGTCATAAATTACGTTACCATAGGTAACGTTATTGATAAATTCTATTGCACACATTTTCTGTCGTCAAATCTTTACAGGTATGTTCATTTATCAACTTGTATACTTTTCGTAGATGGGAAAGCATCCTGCTGAAATTCAAAAAGACTATAGTGATAGGAAAAAGCACCAAAAAGGGCGTGCTCGGGTTCATAAATGCATTGTCTCAATAGCTGAGTGCACTATCTGAAAAAGATAAAGACCATAAAAGAAAAAATTATGTCATTGCGCCTGAGACATGTTATGTTAGTCTCAGATAGCGTAATAATACAGGAGACAAATCAAAAAGAAGAGAGACTGTTAGCAATGACCCAAGTAATGCCGATAACAATGATTGTGACCGTGTTTATGGCAGTGG